TCAAACTCTTAGGGTCAAGTGGTTCTCTCATCTCAGCCTTCTGAGTAGCTGAGACTACAGGCATGCACCACTGCACCCAGCTGTTTAATTCATTTTTTGAGAAACTTTTCTATTATCAACAATTTGTACACATTAAAAAGTAGAAAGACTGGTATAGTGGACTCTCGTATACCCATTCACTCAGCTTTTAATTTAGCTTTAGAAGTTATCAAACTCTTGGCCATCCTCTGATCAATAAAGATGGGTTTTTTAATTAAAAAAGTTTTAATTTTGAAGTAACTTTAAACCTACAAAAAAGTTGGATTATTAGTGTAAAGTTGCTGATTAAGTTCCTTGATTAGCCTTGTGATATTTGCAGAATCTGTTGTGCTATTTCTGCTTATTACTGATACTGGTAATTTGCATCTCTCCCTCCCTGCGTTCTTTCCTTTTGATGAGTCTAGCTAGCAATTAGCAATTCTATTGATTTCAAAGAACCAGCCTTTTTGGTTTCAGTGACATTTCTTCTATCTTTCTGTTTTTTTATTTCATTGATTTTTTTCTGTAAACTTTATTTCCCTTTAGCAGTTACTCTGGGAGTGATTTGCTGTTCATTCTCTACTTTTCTTAAGGTGGAAACCAAGGTCATGACGTTCCTTCTCTCAGATATTGGAATTTAGTGCTGTATATTTTTTTCTAAGTAGTGTTTTAGTGGCATTCTGCAAATTTCAATATATCATTTAAAAATTTTTTTAAAGACAGGGTTTCACCATGTTGGCCAGGCTGGTCTTGAACTCCTGACCTCAGGTGATCCACCCACCTTGGCCTTCCAAAGTGCTGAGATTACAGGCGTGAGTCACCACGCCCGGCCCAATATATCATTTTTATTCAGTTCAGAATACTTTGTATTTTCCACTTTGACTTCTTTGACACATTGGTGTTTTAAAAGTTAATATTTTTTTTTCTTTTTTGTTTGAGATGGAGTCTTACTCTGTTGCTCAGGCTGGAGTGCAGTAGCCTGATCTTGGCTCACTGCAGCCTCTGCCTCTGGGATTCAAGCGATTATCCTGCCTCACCTTCCTGAGTAACTGGGACTACAGGCACGCATCACCACGCCTGGCTAATTTTTTTGTATTTTAAGTAGAGATGGTGTTTTACTATGCTGGCCAGGCTGGTCTCAAACTTTTAGTCTCAAGATCTGCTCACCCCAGCCTCCCAAAGAGCTGGAATTACAGATTTGAGCCACTGTGCCTAGCCTTATTTACTTTAAAACAGTTGTATGATTTCAGGTCTTATGTTTGAGCTTTGTTAGGCAGTACCAGAGCAGTTTTTGTTTGAGGCTAATTTTATCCCACTAACTAAAGCAAAAACCTGAATACCTTTCCTGATTCCTTGTGGCTAATGGGGTTTTCTACTGTGGTTGGTGAAAATGGGTACGATGCTCAGCCTTTTGTGAGCTCTGGTTTGGTGGTTTAACCCCCTTGATCATTTTGGGTGGTTCTTTCCCTGGCCCTTGGTAGTTTCTTCGCACACAAGTGCTGATCAGTATACAGCTGAAGGCTTGAGGGAGTCCACCTTGCAGAGCAATGGTGTTCTTAAATTCTCTTCTGGTGATCTGACCAGCAAACCTAATTGCTTTGTGCTTCCGCAGACTCCCAGCTTCGTCTCCCAAACTCAAGGAAATTGCTAGGCTCCCTCTGAGTTCCCTGTCCTCCTTTTCTTTCGTGACCTGTAAAGTTTTTTCTTGTTGTTGTTAGTAAACTGAGACAGTTGTAGGACTTATCTAGGTTGTTTTTAAATCTCTCAGTTACCAGTTTTTCTTCATTGCCTAATGTCCAGTTCCTTGAAAACCATGATATATTTTGTTGGTGCTTTAGGGCAGGAGGGCGAATATGATCCCTGTTGTTTCAACTTGGTTGGAAGCAGGCGTCTCTACATAAGGATTTAAAGTAATCCTTCCCTGAGGAAACGTATTTTAGGTGGTGGTGATTGGAACTGGAGATCATAATTGGTTATCAGAAATGACCCCATGGGGTGTGGTGGCTCATTTCTGCAATCTCAGCATTTTGGGAGGCTGAGGTGGGAAGATTGCCTGAGCCCAGGAGTTCTAAACCAGCCTGGGCAAATACTGAGACCCTGTCTCTATTTTAAAAAACAAACAAAACCCAAACCAAAACTGACCCCAGTGACTACTGAGCAATGATTACAAGATTCATTTTTGAGCTCCTAAGGAAGAATCACAGACTAAAGGTTAAGGACCTCAGACTGGTATTCTTTAGCAGGGTCAGTGTCAGAGCAAAAGGTCTTTGGTTTACACTTTGATGGGAGACCTGTACAATAGTATTACTCAACATGTTCAGGTGAGGATGGCTGATCTTTTCTCCAGGGAAAGAGGTTGGGCTTATTCTCACCATAGTCAATAGTAGCAGGCATAACCCTTGAGAATAACTGCCACCTAAACGTTTATTGATTTGGTGGAGCATTATTATTATGGTGGAATAACTCTAGTAATATGCTTTAGGATCATTACACTGCCCTAGGTGGAGAAGATCTTGTTACCATGCCCAAAACGTTATGTATGGTCATACGGCTTGTTTTGAGAAGTTGGACCTGATAGTATGTACCGTTTCTCCTTTTTCACAATGGCACTGAGTTCAGTATCTTATTGGTCGTTTATTTTTGTACCAGTCTTTATGTATTTATTTACATGTTTGATAAGAATGGCACACTTAGGAGTGAAATTATTAAAACAACATAAGTAATTGTACAGACAGACTCCTTTCTTTTTCCTGAGATGGAGTCTTGCTCTGTCGTCCAGGCTGGAGTGCAGTGGCATGATCACGGCTTGCTACAACCTCCACGTCCTGGGTTCAAGAGATTTTCCTGCCTCAGCCTCCTAAGTAGCTGGGATTACAGGCACCCGCCATCATGCTCAGCTAAATTTTCTATTTTTGTTAGAGGTGAGGTTTTTCACCATGTTGGCTAGGCTGGTCTTGCACTCTTGACCTCAGATGATCTGCCCTCCTCAGCCTCCCAAAGTGCTGGGATTACAGGTGTGAGCCACCATGCCTGGCAGACAGATGCTTTCTATTGTTAATTTTATGATAGATCAGGAAGTTTCAGCAATCTTATATATGGGGTTATGTTAAAATTCTGCATTTGGTTTTTACCTGACTGTTAATTTATACTGTGTTAAAATAAATAGGTATTGCTACTTCGTGTACATTTTAAAAAAAATTGAGACAGAGTCTAGCTCTGTCTCCCAGGCTGGAGTGCTGTGGCGGGATCTTAGCTCATTATGTCTGCCTCCCGGGTTCAAGCAATTCTCCTGCCTCAGCCTCCCGAGTAGCTGGGATTACAGGCATGTGCCACCACACCTGGCTAATTTTTTTGTATTTTTAGTAGAGATGGTGTTTCACTGTATTGGCCAGGCTGGTCTCGAACTCCGGACCTTGTGATCCACCCTCCTGGGCCTCCTAAAGTGCTGGGATTACAGGTGTGAGCCATTGTGCCCGGCCCAGTGCACATTTTTTTTTTTTTTTACCAGATCATTAATTCAGTAAGCGTTTTTGAGTGCCTACCGTGTGACAAGCCTGCTGTGCACTGGGTAGATGAGTAGATGGATGGAATCTGAAATGAAGGCAGTAATATTCCTACTGTGAGATCAGCCTCATCTAAAGCAGTGGTTCTCAAACTTTGGGGGCTGAAACCCATTTACATTATTCAAAACTTTCGTAGATGCTAAAGAGCTTTTGTTTATATAGGCTATAGCTACTGATACCATATGAATTCAAACTGATACTTTAAATATTTATTAAAACAGTATGAAATATTATATTTTAAGTAACATTTTGGAAGATATTTTCTAAAAAAAAGTTAGAAAACTATCATCATCTTACATCTTGCCAGCTTCTTTAATGTGTAGCTTAATGTTTAATACTGAAATACAAAAAAAAAAAAAAAAAAAAAAGGAAAAATAAGTCAGTGGGCTTGATGGATTTTCTCCCTGGACAAGCTTTGTTGGTAGTCAGAAACAATCAGAAGGTTGCCTAGTGGAGTTGGAATCGAATGGTGGTGTCAGTTGAGTGCTCTCCAATAGGAGTGAACCTGCCTTAGCGATTGACTCTTGGCCAGGGATTGCCATTTATGTTATTGGTGCTCAGGAAATATTTATTGGATGATTAATAATCCCTGAGAAGTTTTTGGGTGGGTTTCACTGCTAGTGCTATAGCTTTTTACTGTGCTACAGGGAATAAATTTGAGTTGTGTGAAGTACTTTAAGCTCAAGATGGTTAAACTAGACTACGTCTGAATCTGTGGAATGAAAAGGAAGACTCTGTTATTAGTTCCTCTCAGAATGTAAATTGTTCTGTATCAAAGTTGTTGCTAGTATAAACGAATGAATGAAATATGCCAGTTTTGTGGTAGTAAGTGATGCAGGTTCAAGCACTGGTACCCGATTGAAAATGTCATTAGAACCAGCTAGCACTTTAGTAACTAGTTAAGTGTCATCTAAATTTTGATACATTCCATCAGCAAGTGATGAATACACCACTACTTTGGAAGGATTCAAATTTAAACAAAATATTATTAAATAGTAAGAGAACACTTGGATGGTATAAAACAGTGGTCCCCAACCTTTTTGGCACCAGGGACTGGTTTCATGGAAGATGATTACGGGTGGGGATGGATGGTTTGGGATGAAACTGTTCTGTCTCAGGTTGTCAGGCATTAGATTCTCATAAGGAGCCTGCACCCTAGATCCCTTGCAGGCACAGTTCACAATTGGGTTCATGCTCCTGTAAGAATCTGATGCCACTGTTGATCTGATGGGAGGTAGAGCTCAGGCGGTAATGCTTGTTCGCCTGCTGCCCACCACCTACTGTGTGGCCCTGTTCCTAGCAGGTCTGCAGCCCAGGGGTTGGAGACCCCTTTTGTAACAGATAGTTGATAGAATGAAGTTATATAGTCTACTAAGGTATAAAATAATTCACTAATATTTGTTCCCTTTCTTCCCTCAGTGATCTTTCATTGTTCTGAAGCACAAGACCTTTAAACCACTGTAGGTATGGACAAAGAAGAAAGGAAGATTATCAATCAGGGTCAAGAAGATGAAATGGTAACCAGCTGTTCTGATTTACTCGTGAAGTATGAAGACTTTATCTCCACAATTTATTAGTCTAGGGAATAGAAAAATGCAATTAACAACAATAGCAACAGCAGCTAAACTCCATGGATGTCTTTCTTCATCCTGTGCTTTTGATTTGGGATTGTGTAATATGCCTATTAATTGGTTTTAGTATGATTCTTTTTTTACTTGTGATCTGTTAAAACTTAGGGAGAAAAAGTATGTTTTTGCATTTGGTGATTTAAGAGGTAATGTTGGCTAGTATAATCCCAAATAAAGATTTAAATATAATCCCAAATAAAGATTTCTAATTTTGATTTATAAAAAATTTCGGCTGAGGCAGGAGAATTGCCTGAACCTGGGAGGCGGAGGTTGCAGTGAGCCGAGATCGCGCCATTGCACTCCAGCCTGGGTAACAAGAGCGAACTCCGTCTAAAAAAAGAAAAAAAAAATTTTTAATATCAGCTTAATAAAAAACCCAACTTCTCTACTTTGTGTTGGGGGGAGCCAGAAAGATATCAGGTAAAGTATAAGATGTCCTGTTAAATGTAAAAGTCACATAATCCAGGGAGAAATTTTTAGTATAAATATGTTCAAATGTTGCATGGGACAGACAAAAAGATTATTATTTCCTTGAAATTTAAATTTAAGTGGGCCCCCTGTATTTTCATCTGTTAAATCTGCCAACACTTGTTGCAGGGCTAACCTGAAACATATGAAGCAATTTGTCAGTGGATCAAATTGATCAGTCACAGTGGTGTTGGAACAATTAGCAAATCATTTGGAAAACAGTACATTAAATCTATTCCGTCCAAATGTACTATGATACTCTCAATTATATTGTGCAACAGAAATAACATGTTAGTGGAAAACTAGTGAAATCCTAAAACTGAGTTTAGTTAATAGTAATGCAGCAGTGTTAATCTGTTGATTTTTGACAAATGTACCAGGATGTTAACATTAGGGGTAACTGCACAAAGGATGTGCAGGAACTTCATAGTAATTTTGTAACTTTTCTATAAATCTAAAATTTATTTCGAAATAAAAAGTTTATTTTTTTAAAAAAGCCCACCTCATAAGAAGATAAATTTGGAAGAATGAAAAAGGTATGTAAAAAATGAAATTGCAGACATTCTAGGGAAGTGTACTGAATATGAATTTACTGTATCAGTGGGAAAGAACTTATTAGGCATAAATTAAATATAAAATCAAAATGTAAGTATCAACAAATTTCCTTAAAATACAACTGACAAACTGGTCAGAAACAAAATTTAAAGGTAAATTATGGATTGGGAAAATATTTATGGTTTATGTGACAAGACAGTAATACCTATCTGAAAAACAAAGAACTTTGGAATGTGTTTATCTGCCATATCATTTTATAATTAATCATCTGATCACTATGTCCACACAGGAGATTTATGGTTACAATTTGAGTCGCTGGAAGCTTGCTATAGTTTCTTTAGGAGTGATTTGTACTGGCGGGTTTCTCCTCCTCCTTCTCTATTGGATGCCTGAGTGGCGGGTGAAAGCGACCTGTGTCAGAGCTGCAATTAAAGACTGTGAAGTAGTGCTGCTGAGGACTACTGTGAGTCCATGTATCTACTTGTAGCTGATTATTTAAGGAGTAAAACAATGTTTTTGTGTATACTTTATTCAAAATAATCTATGAAGGGAACATTGCTGCCTGGATAAAATGAGGAATGCTAATTCTAGTATTTCTAAAGGATTTATGTTGAATTGAATATTATTATAGTGATGAGAGTTTAATGGAACCTTAAAAATGGTCAAATTCACCCCCTTCCTTTCATATTTCTTATTGCCCTGAGAAATTAGGTACTTGTCTGTTAAGGTACTGGTCCATTAGGACTGCATTTCAGATCTCATTCACTAGGACAGCTGCCTGTCTACTCTGTGATGCTGATGCACTCATCCTTTTTCTTTTTTAAAAATCCTAATTGGAAGCATTTTATAAGAGGTTTTAATAACTAGTCTCAATATGTAGGTAGACTAATTATTTTATGAAATGTTGATGTGTTTATCAGTAAAATACATAATAAAAAATGAGCAATGGAAAGCACTTTATTTGAATTTAAATATCCTCATGAAGTGGTTTAATATTTCCTGAGTAGGAATAATGTTTCCTCAATTAGAGATGAGGAAATAATACCTTGCAAAGAATGGAAATTAGGTGAAAATATAGGCAGTTTTATATAAAATTGGCTCCTGCCTGGGTGCAGTGACTCACGCCTGTAATCCCAGCATGTTGGGAGACCGAGGCAGGCGGATCACTTGAGGCAGGAGTTTGAGACCAGCCTGACCAACATGGAGAAACCCCGTCTCTCCCAAAAAATACAAAATTAGCCAGGTGTAGTGGTGGGCCCCTGTAATCCCAGCTACTCAGGAGGCAGAGGCAGGAGAATTGCTTGAACCTAGGAGGCAGAGGTTGCAGTGAGCCGAGATTGCACCATTGTACTCCATCTTGGGCAGCAAGAGCAAAACGCTGTCTCAAGAAAAAATTGACTCCTTACCCTTATCCCTTTCTGTCTTCCAAGGATGAATTTAAAACATGGTTTTGTGCAAAAATTCGCTTTCTTTCTTTGGAAACTCACCCATTTTCAAGTCCAAAATCTATGTCTGATAAGCTTTCAATTGGCCGTGCAGTTTGTTTGATTGAGAATCCCACTGAAGAAAACAGGCAAGAGATCAGTAAATATTCACAGACTGAATCACAACAGGTATTGTGATGTTAATGGTAAAGTTTCTTTAAAAACCAGAATTGTTACATTTTATGCTATCATGAATATTCTATAATTTTGTTTGCAGTTATTGCTTGATAAATTTATATGCATACAAAATATCACATATTACTACATATAATCCTACATATAACTGTTAATAGAGCTAACAGATTACATGCCACAAATGATGATATGCTTTTTGATGTAACATTTATGTGTGTTCCACAGATTCGTTATTTCACCCACCATAGTATAAAATATTTCTGGAATGATAACATTCACAATTTTAGTTTCTTAAAGTAAGTATCTTCCTTTTGTTTGGATTATACTTTGAATATCCTGAAAACGTTCTAGGTAGAAAAGAGTCCATTCTAGTATTACATAAAATTGCTGAGGTTTTATTTCATAGTTTCTATTCACTTATTAATTAACAAGTCCCTGTTGTTATTTGAAGGCTCATTAGCCATTTAATAAGAAGACCCACCTACAACTTATACCATGGCAAAATTTACATGAAAGTTAGAATTAGTATGATGCGTTCTTACCAGTTTCACCTCAAAGTGATTTTGAGTGTACCTCATAGGGTGTATTTTAATTTAGAGTATCTGAATCATTACCTGTTAGTTTACTGACACTTAAATCCTGTGGTACTTGAGGAATAGAGTAATAGGTGAATAGAGATTTAATTTTACTATGTAGATAAAGAATGGGACAAACTGTAGTAATTCCTTTATTTTTAATCAAGGATTCAAGTTATATAAGTGCAAATTAAGATTCTATTTTTATTGCTGTTAAAATGATTATTAGAAATGCTTGTTAATATCATTGCTTTAGAGTGCCAAAGGAATTCTTAGTTTTAGCAGTAAAAAGAAAATTATGTTATAAACATTTAAAATATTCATACCTGTAGGTTTCTATTGGAAGTAAAAAATAAAAAGTAAAATATTCATGCCTGGATTTTTACTCAGATACGCTAAAGAATTGGAACATTTGGAATGGGCATGGCCATTTTTACATGCCTAGTTCTAAAAACCATTCCTGATTGATAACTATTGCCTTAAAGAAAATCGGGCTGGGCACTGTGTCTGTAATCCTAGCACTTTGGGAGGCCAAGGGGGGCAGATCACCTGAGGTGAGAAGTTCGAGACCAGCCTGGCTAACATGGTAAAACCCTGTCTCTACTAAAAATACAAACAAAAATTAACTGGGTGTATTGGCAGGTGCCTATAATCCTAGCTACTCAAGAGGCTGAGTCAGGAGAATTGCTTGAACCCTAGGTGGGCGGAGATTGCAGTAAGCCTGTATCACACCACTTAATTCCAGCCTGGGTGAAAGAGCTAAACTCCGTCTCAAAAAAAAGAAAAAAGGAAAAAAAAGAAAAATTGCCAATGAGCTGTTATTCCGTTAATTTTTTTTTCTTTTTTTGATTTGGCATTGGCCCCTGCTGCCTTCTGGAGAAGTCATCAAAGTCAGTGGGAAGAAATGTCAAACATATTTATTGTGTGTCTTTTGCCAGCAATAGTAACTTAAAAATGTAAACTTATTACATTGACTGCAGTGTATTATGAAGCTTAGCTTTCCTATGTGCAAAAGGATTGGAATTAAGTGTATGTAAGACTCTCTTCGCTTTAGAGTTTTATAGCTGGCATCTCAGTTAAAATAAGCATAATAAGCCGGATGTGGTAGCTCACGCCTGTAATCCCAGCTGTTTGGGAGGCCAAGGAAGGCAAATCATGAGGTCAAGAGATCGAGACCATCCTGGCTAACATGGTGAAACCCTGTCTCTACTAAAAATACAAAAAGCTGGGTGTGGTGGCACATGCCTGTAGTTCTAGCTACTCAGGTAACTGAGGCAGGAGAATCGCTTGAACCTGGGAGACGGAGGTTGCAGTGAGCTGAGATCTTGTCCCTGCACTCCATCCTGGCAACAGAGCGAGACTTCATTTCAGAAAAAAAAAAAAAAAAAAAGCATAACTAAAGCATTTTGAGAAAAAGTAGATATGTTAGTTGAATCCTAGTTGGAATTATTATAGATTTTAGGCATTATCTGTGACTCATAAATTCTGTACTTCAAACCAGATATGTATTAGGGAAGGGTTTGGATTGGTGCTTTTATGGAGATGAAAGAAAACTAATAGCATTTCTTAGTTTGACTCTAAAATGGAAAAGGAGAAACTATTTAGCCAAAGAGTAAAACTTTTTCATCTTTGGTTTAGAATTCTCAAGTTATACTTTATCTTAAAATTTTAAAGTTTAATTTTAGTTATTACAGCTTTGGCATAGTCTTAAGGTTAATGATATTATATAAACTTGTATTTGGAGCCATCTCATCTGTCTTGCAGTAAATACATTGAATAGCTTTAAAGTTGGGTTTGATACTTAGATTTGTCATTATTTATCTTAAGAATTTGAGATTATAAAATTTTCATTTGTTATCTCAGTTTTTGTTAAGGGTTTCTAAGCATTTGTAAGGAAGTCACACCTTTTTAAACTCAGGCATTTAGAAAAATGAGGCGTTAAGACATTTGGATATTTTAAACTTTGTTTAAAGTAAAAACTTTGGATTTATTTAGGGGACTGGATGAAGGTGTTTCTTGTACGTCAATTTATGAAAAGCATAGTGCAGGACTGACAAAGGGGATGCATGCCTACAGGTAATTTTTATCCAACTAAAGTTAGATCTTCTCAACATTCCTGAAAGCAGTAGTATACATAGTCAACCCTTTACCATATAGTCATACATATTAACAGACACTTTAATATTACAGACACAGTAGTTGAGAATTTATTGGTATTTTATTTGGGTAAGACTGTCTCTCAGTTTAAGAATTATAAAAATGTTAAAGTTGATATTTTGAAGTTGGCATCTGTGAAATTATACCATGGTTCATCAGTTCTCAGGTGCACATTTTTCTACCTTTTAACATCTCTGAAATTGGGATGTGTCATAGAGTTGGTGAAGTGTCATTCTTTACTTGATAGCATTTTTATCTTTCTTGATCATATGTAAAATGGTATGCCTTACAATTGATAGCACCTCACCTCAGATTTTCTGAAATTGTAAGCATGAGCTCAAATACACTGTAATGAACAATTGTAAATTGGGAGACATAATCTTCCTCGTGTTACTCCTTGTTAAATCATAAAAATACACCAGTGTATTACATATTTTAAAGATAAATGCCACTTTGAAATTCAATCAGAAATTTTCTTACAGTTCTGTAGCTTGTTCTTTCAAAGGGTTAGAACATGAAATTCACTCATTGAGACTTAACACTTCATAAAAGGCAAAAAAATGCTCTATCATATAGAAAATACTATTGGAACATAAGGAATTAAGTGGAAACATTTAAACTTTAGAAGCATTTTCTTTTAATCAAATGTACAATGTTTTGAATTAAACACTGTACAATATTAAAATAAGATCCTACAAATTTATTGGGTTTCTTGCAAAAATTAATTGTAATTCATAATTGTTAAAGATCTAGTGTGTTCAAGGGTACAAGAGTACCTTTTGCTCACATGGTTATAGACTAGTGGAAGGATACTTGTCACACCTAAAGATGTGAGACAAAATGAAGTTAAATGCTACCAGTATAGGTATCTAGTATTGATTTCTTTGATTTAAATTCTGTAGGTAGAGAGTTTGAATTATAGAAGGCAAGTGTTGAGAAACATGAATAGAAACAGTCTGTGATTTAAGCCTTACCTAATACAATACCTTTCCTAAATTATACTATTATTATATAATGGAATACTGTTAATGTGTTTTCCTGTTCCAGAAAACTGCTTTATGGAATAAATGAAATTGCTGTGAAAGTGCCTTCTGTTTTTAAGCTTCTAATTAAAGAGGTAAGACTATTTATTGTATATAACTCAACAGTTGTGATCAATAGATTTGTCAATTTGGAAAGAGTCGTGATTAAGATATTCTTGTTTTTCTTTTTCCTAACATCTTTTTGCATATTTTTACTTGGAAAGTAAAGACAAAAGGAATTTACTCTGGTAGAGAAAGAATCTGGGGCATGTATTCTGAAAATTTTGTCTAATTTTGCTTTTATTATCTGTTAAATGTCTAACAGATTTAGGCTCACTAATCTTCATTCTGGTTTTTGACTAAAGTTCAAGAATTAGTTGTATTAGTTCCTGGAGTGGCCATGTAATGGTGCTTATGAACGCAGCATAGTATAGTGATAGGAACTGGAAAGCCTGATTTGTAATGTGGTTTCATCAGTAACTAGCTCTGATCTCAAGTAAATTCTGTTGCTCCTTGACCTATAAACTTGGAATAAGTTTTTTCTAATGATCTCATTTGGGTGTGAGGTAAAAGGAGACTATATCTATATGACAGTGCATTGAAAAGTACAAAAGCATCAATTTGAAGACATTGGAGGGTTTTAATGAAATTGATAAAATATGGGGGTAAATGAAGTTCATTGCCAAGGGCTCCCTTATCTCTTTTTCATTTAGGATTTAATACTTACTGTCTTAGAGAAAGCAAAGTAACATAACCCATTAACTCATATTTGTCTTTCCTTTGGCCTCCTGTGAACTTTTGACATAGAAGTAAATTTGTGTTTTGTGTTTGTAATAAGCAAACATTTGTTTGATTTCATTAAAAATTTTGTATCCTGTTAGCCCAGGGCACAGTAATTATTGAAAATAAATGTACTTTATTGCTAAAGCAGGTTGCAGAACAGCTAAATTCATACACTTACTAGCCTTTTCTAGCTTAGTCTATGTTTGGATGGTTTGAATCTAAATGGATGCCAGCAATTTAAAGTAACCTTATTTAGCCAAATTCTAGTCGTTTAATGATAGATTAACAGTATGATAGCATATTGCCCAACTTTTTAGGGAAGTACATTTTGCCATGGAATACTATGGAACTTACCCTTTGTGTATACATATCTTTTTGGCTAATTGTCAAATGAAAAGGTAGACGATCTGCATGGTCAATAATATCTCATTCAGTTTGACTTTAAAATTTTGTTTTTCAGGTTCTCAACCCATTCTACATTTTCCAGCTGTTCAGTGTTATACTGTGGTGCACTGATGAATACTATTACTATGCTCTAGCTATTGTGGTTATGTCCATAGTATCAATTGTAACCTCACTATATTCCATTAGAAAGGTACGTTAAAGTTTATTATGGGTTTCACAACTGTATTCATATTTTGTAATAACATCTAAAGTGTGTAGAATAGTACTTGGCACAAAGTAAATTCTGAATGCAGTCATTATTTTATTCAGTGCATGAATATATACTCCTTCTCCCCCTCCCTTTTTTGTTTGTTTTGTGGGGTAGGAGGTTGGGGACGGCAGGTGCTTTTTAGAGTCAGACTACCACTTGACTGCTTAGAGGCCATAGGGATCTGTAGCTGCTGATCGCAGACTGGAATACTACAAGGTACTGTGTTCAGGGTTATCCTATTAAAGTGCTTCTGCTTTTGTCTTGAACTAAAACAATGAATTATCTGAATTTCTGACTCAATGTTTTATAAAGGCAGAGTGATGTGCATGTATTGTACTCACTTACTTTTTAACGTATCTTGAGAAGTGGTTCGTATCGGCTGGTCTCTAATTTCCTTTTCCTCTTTCAGCAATATGTTATGTTGCACGACATGGTGGCAACTCATAGTACCGTACGAGTTTCCGTTTGTAGAGTGAATGAAGGTAAGTAATTGGAGTGAATGTTGGGAGAGTAAATCAGAAAAGCGACCTGTTAGGCATAATGTGTGAAATAAGCCCGAAGTATAATACATAACATTATTGATTGAGTCAGCGTCTCTGTCACTCAGGCTGGAGTGCAAAGGCACAATCTTGACTTACTGCAGCCTTGACCTCTCAGACTCAAGTAATCCTCCTACTTTAGCCTCCTGAGTAGCTGGGACCACAGGTGCATGCCACCATGCCCAGCTAATTTTTGTATTTTTTTTAAGAGACGGTGTTTTGCCATGTTGCCCAGGCTGGTCTCAGACTTCTGGGCGGAAGCGATCTGCCACCTAGACCTCCCAGTGTTGGGCTTACACGTTTGAACCATGCACACTGCACCTGGCTTTTTTTCTCTTTTTACTCTCATCATTTCACTAATGGGATAAAGCCTTTTTTTTTTTTTTTTAAGTTGATGGGGTCTCACTGTTGCCCAGGCCTGAGTGCAGTGGCTCAACTTACCCACCTGGCTCAGCCTCCTGAGTAGCTGGGACTACAGGCTTGTAGCACCATACCTGGCTAATTTTTTTTTTTTTTTAAAGAGATGAGGTCTCACCATGTTGCTCATGCTGGTCTTGAACTTCTGGGCTCAAGAGATCCTCCTGCCTCGGTCTCCCAAAGTGTTGAGATTACAGACTTGAGCTACCCTGCCTCGCATATACATTCATGTGTTCTGAGAACTAAAAATAATACATTTCAATTTCTGAGTTTGTATCAAATTCACTTATTTATATAAAATTATAAATTCTTTTTTTATTTTCAAGGCAGTGCTGAAGGAAAAAATTATAAATTCTTTTGTGTGACAGGTACTATGCTAGGCTCTGGGGATTCAGTGTAGAGATAACAATAGTAACAGTAACAATGAAGTGTGACAAATGCTATGATAGGGAGAAGTCCGCGAACTTACATGTTAGAGAGACCTCATTTACTGTAGGTATTAGGGATGACGTCCGTGAAAGTACTTTTAAGTGGTGACTATTTGAATTAGCCAAATAAGAGGTAGGTGAGAAGTTGATAAGGGGAGGGTGAGAGAAGGATAGAAGAGGTTCTAAATACCCAAAGACCTAGAAATTAGAGATTGCATGGACATTGTAAGAACTGAAAGAAGAAATTTAGTATGACAAATACAGCAACTGTAAATGATGGATAGCTCTCTAAGGCATATTGAGGAATTTGGGCTCAGTCCAAAAGACAATGGAAAGCCATTGAAGGGTTTTATTATTGTTATTATTAGATAGAGTCTCACTTTGTCACCCAGGCTGGAGTGCAGTGGGAATCTTGGCTCACTGCAACCTCCATCTCCAAGGTTCAAGCGATTCTTCTGCCTCAACCTTCTGAGTAGCTGGGATTACAGGTATGTGCCATCATGCCCAGCCAGTTTGTGTATTTTCAGTAGAAACAGGGTGTCACCATGTTGGCCAGGCTTATCTCAAACACCTGGCCTCAAGTGATCCACCCGCCTTGGCCTCCCAAAGTGCTGGGATTGCAAGCATGTGCACCATCATGCCCAGCTAATTTTTGTATTTTTAGTAGAAATGGTGTCACCATTTTGGCCAGGCTGGTCTTGAACTCCTAATCTCAAGTGGTCCATCTGCCTTGTTTTCCCAAAGTGCTGCAATTACAGACATGAAACACCATGCCTAGCTGCCATTAAAGAGTTTTAAGCAGAGAAGTGATAAAATACTTGCCCTTTGGGGAAACATTTAGACTAGTTTAGAGGGTAGGAATACTGAAGGTATGACCTCCCTGAATCAAGGTAGGGATTGTAGAAATGAAAAGAAATGAATTTGAAAGATACTTAAATGTGTCCGTTGAACAGGATTTAACCCATTGGATATGAGGTCATGGAGAGCTGTCTGGCTAGGTGAATGGATGTTGGTGCTATTTAATTAAATAGGAAACTCTGGAAGAGAAGCAGGCTTGTAAGAAGGGTACTGTTTTGGACATGTAAATTGTCTGGCGAGATGTTGAAGAGGTAAAGGAGGCAGCACAGTATCATGGGCCTTGGAGGCAGAAGCTGCTTTGATTTACTCAGAACACCAAATTGGTCTCCATTTTCTTGACTCAGACTACACCCAAGCGATTGCTTCCTTCCCTGTGCTTCCTGTCACTTTGCTACTCTCAGTGGGAAGATCTATCTCCCTTAGCTGAAGTCTAAGATGTGTAGCTTATTAATACCTCTCTTCTTGTTCTGTTGCTGCAGATGCTGGGGATGCTAGGGCAGATGTACCATTAAACTTGAATCTTCCTTACCCACTTCGTATAGTCTTAGATATCATCAATACCTTGTTTTCTGGTATACATAAAAGGAGTAGAATTTCAAGTGTTGTTTAAAAGCTTTAAGAAAAGTCAAATTTTTACTTTTTCTTCCCATCTCAGGAATGGATTTATTTATTTTTTTAAAGAAAAGCCAAATTTTTAAAAGAAGGGATCTTATTTTAAAGGTGAAGATTGATATACCTACTATATATTAAATGTCGTTCTTTAAAAGTTGTTCTCTCATAATTTAGTAAATTACTTTTTTTTTTTTTTGAGACGTAGTCTTGCTCTGTCGCCAGACTGGAGTGCAGTGGAGTGAGCTTGGCTCACTGCAACCTTTGTCTCCCAGGTTCAAGTGATTCCCTGCCTCAGCCTCCCCCGAGTAGCTGGAACTACAGGCATGTGCTACCATGCCTGGCTAATTTTTTTATATTTTAGTAGAGATGGGGTTTCACCATGGTGTCCAGGATGGTCTCTATCTCGTGGCCTCGTGATCTGCCTGCCTTGGCTTCTCAGAGTGCTGGGATTATAGGAATGAGCCACCATGTCTGGCCACTTCATTTTTTAAAAAAAGGAAACAAAGAGTATTTGTCTTACAGGATAATATCACAAACAATAGATTTCTTTTCATCTGTGTCCATTTATAAACTAGTGTGACTGTCTTCTGAGCACAGTATTAAACCTGGACAGGGAGAGGGAGGAGGTTAGAGAATGAGAGGAAGAGAGAGAGAATACCTATGTATAAGGTGACCTTAGAAAGCCTTTTACACTTGGGGAGATCTTTTTATTTTAATTTTTCCTTTTTTCAAACACCAACTTGTACCAGAGGGAAGATCTTTTAAAAAAGTGTTTCACTAACTTAAATTTGTAAGGAAATAATGAACTAGATAAAATATTAAAATGTTTAATTTATTTAATGAATTCACTCATATTTAAAATATCTAAAAACAGTAATTTAGGAATATTAAGGAGGCAATGAGACTTGGAAGGCAATGAGAAAAGGAATATGATAGATATGCTGTTGAAAAGTAAATGTGCTAAGATTTTTGGTGCTTCTGTTTCCAAGAGATTATAGAAATCAGTTTGTTTTGCCTGTTTCACAGGAGTCTCCTCTGTGGACTCATTGCGTCTCTTTTCCTTAGGCTGATAGCCAACATTTATTATGGACAGTTGTCATGAGTGTCGAAGCATACTCACTTGGTTGGCCAGAGGGTACTTGGTATCACCTGTGCACAGTTGGTGTCCTGCCAGGAGATTACCCGATACACCATGCTTTGTTAGCCTAATAATCTTATTTGTTAAAACTTGCCATTTATTGGATTTTTCTGTTTTACCCCATTATATTATTAACTTCCTACTGAGATCAGATGACTTCTGAATAGTATTTGCCGTGTTTTTCCAAGGTAAAGAATTTTTTTTTCAGATTTTTCTTTCTTTAAATTCAGAAATGGAAGAGATTTTTTCCACCGACCTTGTGCCAGGAGATGTCGTGGTCATTCCATTAAATGGAATAATAATGCCTTGTGATGCTGTACTTATCAATGGAACCTGCATTGTAAATGAAAGCATGTTAACAGGTAAACTAAATGAGTAAATATCACACGAGTTGTTTATAATGATATCATGACTGAGTAGTTACTGATTAAGCCTTTTCAGAATCAGCTATGTCATTTGTATCTTTACTCATGAATATGTTGGATATTGGAGATTTAAAATCCTGAATAGACCAAATTCTGCATTATACTCAGCTACAACACTAGATACTGTGCTATAGTGTTGGTCACATCTCTTGGCCTGATTCTGGCTACTCTTTGAACGTTAGGAAATAGTTTCTGGTTAAGGAAGTGGAAAGAAGTCCTTTTCCCACCGAGAATGCTGCATACAGTATTTGGTTCTTCATTTGATGTGTAAACAGTGGGAATAAAGAAAGATTTTGTGTTTTCTTGATGGGGAGTTGTGGACTTTAAAATTACTTCCCTTTGGAGATTTCAAAATCTTTTTTTTTTTTTTTGAGACAGAGTCTTGCTCTGTCTCCCAGGCTGGAGTGGAGTGCAGTGGTGTGATCTGGAATCACTGCAGCCTCCGTCTCCTGGGTTCAAGAGATTCTCCTGAGTCAGCCTCCCAAGTAGCTGGGACTACAGGCATGTGCCAACACGCCCGACTAACTTTTCTATTTTTTTTTTTATTAATTTTTTTTTTTTTTTTGAGATGGAGTTTCCCAGGCTGAGTGTAATGGTTTGATCTCAGCTCACCACAATCTCTGCCTCCTCGGTTCAAGCGATTCTCCTACCTTAGCCTCCTGAGTAGCTGGGATTACAGGCATGCACCACCACGCCCAGCTAATTTTTTTTGTATTTTAGTAAAGATAAGGTTTCTCAATGTTGGTCAGGTTGGTTTCAAACTCCCGACCTCAGGTGATCCGCCTGCCCAACGTGCTGGGATTACAGGCATAAACCACTGCGCCTGGCAACTTTTTGTATTTTTAGTAGAGATGGGGTTTCACTGTGTTAGCCAGGATGGTCTTCATACCCTGACCCTATGATCCACCTCAGCCTCCCAAAGTGCTGAGATTACAGGTGTGAGCCACTGTGCCTGGCCTGGAAATTTCACAATGTTGAAATGCTTGATTTTTTTTTTCTTTTCTTTTTTTATTTTTGACACAGAGCCTTGTTCTGTCACCCAGGCTGGAGAACAGTGGTGCGATCTTTTTTTTTTTTTTTTCGGTTGGAATCTCGCTCTGTCACGAGGCTGGAGTGCAGTGGCGTGATTTCGGCTCACTGCAACCTCTGCCTCTGGGTTCAGTTGATTCTCCTGCCTCAGCCTCCCAAGTAGGTGGGATTACAGATGTGTGCTACCACACCCAGCTAATTTTTGTGTTTTTCAGTAGAGACAGGTTTTCATCGTGTTAGCCAGGATGGTTTTGATCTCTTGACCTTGTGATCTACCCACCTCAGCCTCCCAAAGTGCTGGGACTACAGGCGTGAGACACCGCACCCAGCCAGTGGTGGGATCTTGGCTCACTACAGCCGCTGCCCCCAGGTTCAAGCAATTCTTATGCCTCAGCCTCTTAAACTATTGGGACTATAGATGTGTGCTACTATGCCTGGCTAATTTTTGCATTTTTCATAGAGACAGGGCTTCACCATTTTGGCCAGGCTGGTCGCAAACTCCTGGCCTCAAGTGATCCACCCACCTTGGCCTCCCAAAGTGATGAGATTACAGGCGTGAGCCACCTTGCCTGGCCAATATCTTATTTTAATAATGTGAATTTTTTCTTATTGTCATAGTCAATCTGGCTAGAAAATGATTTCTGTGTAATGCATTTTGAAACTGTTAAGAACCCTGTCTTAAAACACACAAACATATACATATCTCATGTCTTAAAACACACAAATATATACATATCTGACACACTTGTCTTCTTTGAAGCAAGAAATGTGAATGCTACAGAGAATTAAAAAGAATTTGACTGTGGTTATTTGAGAGAACCACCACATTACTCATTTTTCTCATCTTTTTTTTGCCCAGATGTCTTCTCTCTCTCTCTCTCTCTCTCTTTCTCTTTCTGTGTGTGTGTGTGTGTGTGTGTGTGTGTGTGTGTGTGTGTAGGGGTGGATCGGGGTAGGTCTTCACATCTCTTATGTACATGAGGTAAAGTGCTGCTGTTACCATTAGTTCTTAGAGATAAGAAAACAAGTACAGGGACTGTAGCAACTACTTAATGTTTTTTGAGATTATTTGAAACTGAACAACAGAACTGTTTCTAAGCAGATACCTTTGAGCCACCAATCACTTTCTGGAATTACTGTGGGAGATAATATTTGATACTTCTATGTGAGGAAATTGGCAGACAAAAAAGCCCTTATCCACATACACAACTCTTAATGATTCAAGTATGGTAGCATTTAAAATATTTAACAATTTATGATCTTTTGGTGTTTGATACTGATTCCTGTGCTTTTGTTTAATAATTTGTTAACTTTTTTTTAAAGGAGAAAGTGTTCCAGTGACAAAGACTAATTTGCCAAATCCTTCAGTGGATGTAAGAGGAAAAGGAGATGAATTATATAATCCAGAAACACATAAACGACATACTTTGTTTTGTGGGACAACTGTTATTCAGACTCGTTTCTACACCGGAGAATTCGTCAAAGCCATAGTTGTTAGAACAGGTAGGAAACATCTTAATTAATCTCTTCTTACATGTTTCAGCATATTTGGTACCTACTGAATGTTTAAAAAGAGATTCTGTTTTGGGAGATAATTCTCATTTTTTTATAAAAATATAAATAATTCTCTCTCTTTTTTATTTTTGAAAGGATTTAGTACTTCCAAAGGACAGCTGGTTCGTTCCATATTGTATCCCAAACCAACTGATTTTAAACTCTACAGAGATGCCTACTTGTTTCTACTATGTCTTGTAGCAGTTGCTGGCATTGGGTTTATCTACACTATTATTAATAGCATTTTAAATGAGGTATGTATGTGGGACTCTTAATAGGGTTTGAACCTCAATTATTCATCACATGCAGCTATTGAGGATTTGAAATGTGGCTGGTGAGACCGAGGAACGAAACTTTTAGGTTAATTTCATTTTAATTAATTTAATGCTAACAAAGTCATGAGACTAGTAGCTATTATCTTAGAAAGCCCAGCTACAGAGCATTTCCACTGTAAAGTACATTTCTTTTGGATGTCTCTGGTTTAGATGGTCTATTACTTGATCTTGTGAGTTAATTAAAAAAAAAAAAACAACCCACATACTTACCGAAAGCTTTATTTTCTCTTTTTTACCTCTGAGATGTAATATACAGAGTGAAAATGATTTTTTATTTTAAGGCGCTGGTTGTCAAAAGTGGAGACTGGCACAGTAAGGTGTGTGTGTGCGATGCGTCAATAGCTGATAAAGCTTGTAGACTGGCTTTGAAGTGTGTCATGTGTGAAGTATGCAGGGCTATGAAAATGAGAAGTTTCTTTTAGAAGTAGCTGTCATTCTATAATCCATTGAGCTTTTTTATTTTGCAGAAGTATCTGAGGAAAAAAATTATAAATGGTTAATAGATAGGTATATACATACATACACATACATGAAATAGACAATTGGAAATGACTTACAGGGCCGGGTGCGGTAGCTCACGCCTATAATCCCAGCACTTTGGGAGGCCGAGGTGGGTGGATCACGAGGTGAAGAGATCAAGACCATCCTGGTCAACATGGTGAAACCCCGTCTTTACTAAAAATACAAAAAATTAGCTGGACATGGTGGCGCACGCCTGTAATCCCAGCTACTCGGGAGGCTGAGGCAGGAGAACTGCCTGAACCCAGGAGGTGGAGATTGCGGTGAGCCAAGATCACACCATTGCACTCCAGCCTGGGTAACAAGAGGGAAACACTGTCTCAAAAAATAAAAAGAAAAAAGAAAATGACTTACAGATTTTCACTAAAGAAATACCCATATTAAATTAGTAAATAATATTGGGGGTTTGACATTTATTTTTGTGTTAATTGTAGGTAGAAGTTGGGATAATAATTATTGAGTCTCTTGATATCATAACAATTACCGTGCCACCTGCACTTCCTGCTGCAATGACTGCTGGTATTGTGTATGCTCAGAGAAGACTGAAAAAAATCGGTATTTTCTGTATCAGTCCTCAAAGAATAAATATTTGTGGACAGCTGAATCTTGTTTGCTTTGATAAGGTTGGTTCAGTTTCATAGTTACTTTCAAAGGTTACTTCGTAGCTTTTAAATGTTTAGATCAGTGTTTTTAAATTTTCTTTGTCAACAAATTTGCACACCTTCTATCATGTTCCTCTAATTTTCCTTTTCCACAACTTATCTGGTATATGCATCATTTTTATATACCCTAAGTTATCACTTAACATTAATGATAGGTTCTTGGAAACCACAACTTTAAATGAAATGAAACCAGTTTTACCATAGGCTAATTGATACAAACGAGATTTAAGTTCTTATGCCATATTTTGGTCACGGAAACATCACTGAACTTCTAAATAAGGATCTAAAGCACTTCTGATATTAATCATTGAAATAAATATGAGCTATACATTAAGAAAGAAAAAAAACCAAGTAAGATGATTATTTACCTGATTGTTTTATTTCAGGCTTATGGGTAGTGAGAGCCTGTCTTGACAACTGGGGAAACAAGGCAGGAGCCAGCCCTGGACAGGATGCCATTGTATCAGAGTGCAGTCATAGTCGCTCAGATTGGGGCCATTCAAATATGCTGGTTCACTTAACTTGCATAGCTTTGAATATGGGAGGAAACCGAAGTACCTGGAGTGAAATCCATGCAGACAGGAAGAGAACATGCAAATTTCTTGTAGATAGTGGTCTCCGCTGGGCATCAGCACTCCCCACCACTGCCTCATCAAAGTTATAAAAAAGACTAACAAAACAGTGTTGAGGACATGTTTTATTTCTTATTTACTCACTTTTTAATACTTTGGATATTGCTTATTTGCTCAAAGCTGCAGTTAATTTGATTATATCCAGAATTAGGCCCAGTAGTATTAATAGTAGTAGTAGTAAAGATTACTTGATCTTTAATGTTTTTAGATAGTAATTCTTATTTAACATAGTAGGCTCCATACATATATATTTTTTATGATTTTAATGCTTTTAAGCGTGTATGTTTAGTGTTTGCCATATGATATTACTGAATATGTTTCAGAATTATGAAGGTCACTGATTTGATGTGAAAATGACAAATTATGTAACTGTGTGACGTATATCTTGCCTCTTAGAAAGATTTCTCCTTTCCTGAGCTGGAATTAGTTTTCTTTAAAGTTTTCTGAGAATTAAATTTTGACAAAAAATCCTTCTATCAAACTCTTCTGGGTAACTGATACGAATTTGATTTTTGTGCATTTCATTATTACAGAGAAAAATGTGAAACATGTTCTGTTAAAAAAAAAGTCACTTTCACTATTATTTCATATTTATCTGTTCAAAAAATTTCACTTAATGCTTGTCTTTTTTGGAAACTTTACTAAAATGTTAAAAGTGGAGAAAAGGTGCATGTGTAATACACCCTCATTTACACCTTATCCAGCTTTATCAGTTACCAGCACTTTGCCAGTCTTATTTTATTTGTCTGGTCATTTTGAAGGGGACAATATCACACATTATTTTACCCCCTAACCACCTCAGTGTATATCTAGAGGACATTTAAAATACCACTATCACGTTTACCAGAATTAGTAATTCCTTCGTTTTTTTTAATATCAAGTTGGGATTTCCTCAAATCTCAAATTTTTACTAACTGGTTTTTCAGTCAAAATCCAAACAGGGATTACATTGCTTACAATTAACATGTAACAATTGCCTTTACTTACCCTTCATCCCCAATTATTTCATTGAAGAAACCAAGTCATTTACCTTGTGGGTTTGGCCAGTTGGTTCCTTCTGATATACTTTAACTTCTTCCTCTTGGCTCTCCCTGTACAGTAATCCTTCATTCCTTGACAGGCATCCTTTATTATTGGTAAGATAGGATAATTAGGGCATCTTTGCAGTGATTTTTTTTTTATAGTATGAGCACGTAAATGAATGCCCTCCTCCCCTTACATAGAAGACTTGTAGCACCCCTTTCCCACTTTGACCATATGTCCTAGAAGCCATTCTCTATCAGTATACAGAGATCTTGCCTGTTTCTTTTTTTAACTCTGTAGAACTCCATTATGTTATATGTAGCATAGTTTCTAATGCTATGTGGTTGTTTTTTATTTTTATGTTATTAATTTTTTTTGAGGCATTATCCATACTTTGTGCATGTGTGCTTTGTTTTTTTAGACTGGAACTCTAACTGAAGATGGTTTAGATCTTTGGGGGATTCAACGAGTGGAAAATACACGGTAAATACTAGTTAGACTTGATAGTTTATTTTAAATAAATATTTTGACATATGCAACATTCAAACATAGAGGAAGTAATATAACAGACAACTGTGTGCCTACACCAGGATTGAACAGTGGACGTGTTACCATATTTGCTTCAGATCTCTTCCTTTAGAAGATTAAGATATTATAGAAATTGCCAAAGTCTCACTCTGTCCCTTCTCCAGTTCCTACTGGCATTCTGAAATTATTTTTTGCGTATCTATATTTTTACTGCATATAAATCTATAAATCAGTATCCATGAATGATATACTGTACTTATGTTTTACTACTTTTTCCCTCTTCTCCAAACCTTGTTTTCAAGAATTATCCATGTTGATATGTACAGATCTAATTTATTTAACTGCTCTGTCTTATTCCATTGTATGATTAAACCTTGTCTCTTCTTCTATTAAGGGGCAAGTCTCTTTTTTCTCCTTTTTTCTCTGCACTGTTATAAATAGTGCTGCAGTTAAAACTCTTACACACAGCTCCTTGTAGGCATGCGGCTGAGTTTCAGTAAGCTAGATCCCTATAAATGTAAATGCTGGGTCATAGCACGGGCACAGCTTTAGCTTACTTATACTTTCTCAGTGGATAAAGGTCTTTTTGCTCCACATTCTTGCCAAACTTAATATTGTCAGATCTGTAATTTTTGCCATGTGGGTGCATATGAGTATTACATTGTGGTTTTATTTACAGTCTTCTCGTTACTTATAAAATTGAGCATCTTTTCACATTTTTGGAGGGAGGGTCATTTAGAATTCTGTGTGTTTATATCCTCGTTTTTCTAATGTGTTGTGAAGTCTATCTTGTGCATTTGTTAGACATCTTTTTTATTTTCTGGATAGTAATCGTTTGCAATACCATGTATTGAAAATATATCCCATTAGTCCCCGGCTCATCTCTTTACTTCGGTTTCTGTTGCTTTTTGAAGATGTTTTACTCCTGTAGTTTTATGTATGTTGTTTCCCGCCCCCACAAAAGTCTGCTAAATTTTGGTTTATGTAGTTTGAGAGACCATATTGTTTGGCTAATGTAATTTCAAGAGTTATATCTTGCAAAATAGAATGTCACATTGTGACCTTTTTTTATCCCTAGTAATGCATGTTGTCTTAAATTCTCTTTTGTCATATATTTATGTAGCTCCACACCAGCTTGCTTTTGTCTAATGTTTGCCTAGTGTGTGTTTTGCCACCTGTCTACTTCTCAGTCTTTCTGTGCCATGATGATCATATTTATTCAGACATGTTTGAAATTATTTCTACCAGTGCTCCCCAATTTATATGCACATTTTCACATTCTCATTTTCTCAGTTTATACATCCTAATCTTATACTGCTTGTTCTTACATTATCAATATTTATACTTAGGGTATAAAGTTCATGGGTGTCAATACTGCCTTTTAACCATCGCTCCCCCCCAAAAACAAACCTATGGACTGTAAAATACTTTTGGTTATTCCCCTTCTTTCCTATATGTATTTGTTGTGTAATATTTTATGATTATGATTTTGTTCTTAGTCTGCATGCTTAGATTTCCTAGGTGTACAAATATCTCAACTGTAGCATCTTGTATAAATTGCCATCTTCTGTAACTACATCCATTCACTTTGTTTCACTGTCACTCTTTCTTTTTAACTGAAAGTTAGTTTAAAATAAAGGAATCAGAATGGCGACTCCATAGGCAGAGCAGCCCACTGTCACTCTCGGGTGGTAGTACAGCTGTATAGATTTCTAGGTCTGACGCTTGTGTTCTCTCAATACTGTGAAGGTGTTATTTCATTTCTCTTAATACCTTTTCTTGGTTGGTACTGATAAATGTTCGTCTCTTTAGTAATCTTTTTTTCTCTCTGGTTGCTTGAAGAATATTTCTTCACTTTTAATTTCTGCAGATTCACCGTGATATTTTTATTTGTTTGTACAGGGTTCATGTTGCTTCTTGATTTCATGCATTCATGTTTTTCATAAATTCTGGAAAATATTCAGGCCTCTTTTACTTCAATTATGGGTCTTTTCCTTGTGCGTTGTTTTCTCTCCATCTGAGCCACATGTTGGACAAGACAGTTTACTCGGTTCTTTCCAAGTCTGCTCCCACCCACCTCTCACATCTACAGTGTCTTATTTTTCTAAGTCTAACTTTAAAATGTCCTTTTTGCATTCATTCAGATTTGCCATTCTGTTATCTTAAACTTATGGAATTCTTTATTTTTTTATTTTAAAAATAGAGATGGGTGTCTCGCTATATTTCCCAGGCTGGTTTTGAACTCCTGGCTTTAAGTGATCCTCCTGCCTCAGCCTCCCAAAATGCTGGGATGACAAGCATTAGCCACTGTGCCTGGCCAAATTTATAGGATTCTAATTCTGTCTTTGTTATGTCTGTCGACACTTGGTGAATTGTTTGCTAGCACATCTTTAAATTATGGTCTCATTCTTAACTGAATTTTTCTTTGAGCTCCCCTCTGGAGAAGTTTAGACTTTGCTTGGCTAAGAGCCCCAGAGCCCCAGTGGTACTCAGTGGTGTCATACAAGCTTTAACTGACCTTCTGTGTTTCAGTCCTTGGCTCTGCTACTTATGGGCTATGTAACCTTGGACAGTTACTTAACCACCCTGCTTCAGTTTTCTCATTCATAATGGGGACAATAAAACACCTTTGTGTGGTGTGAGGATAATGGGTCAATATATATAAAGTTATTAGAATAATGTCTTGTGCATATTGAATATTATACAGATATTAGCTATTTTCTTGGACTTTGGGTGAGGAAAAAAGACAACCTTATTCATAGTTAATACCTTTAGGTCTGTGGGTGAATTTTTTCTCATCTGCCATTTTCCTAAGCCCACATAGTTCTTCAAGAGTACTGGCTTTCCTGAGTCAGTGGGATCCTTTCAGTACCAGGTCCCTACTTTGCATGGGACCAGACTTTGTTTCCTGTTCTTTTGTGGGTATTACATCCCAAGTGCTTAGTTTACTGAGATGGCCTCCCTTCATCTCCCCCAGCAGCCATAGCATCAGCTCAAGTTCACACTCCTCTGGTTTTCTTTTCCCTTAATTTCTGGCACTTGACTATTTCTCTTTCTTAGGAGCTCAGTTTGGGATTGAAAAGATATATATGTGTTTTTTTAGTCACAAAACCAGAAAAGCCCTGTTAAAATATTATCTTGATTCTTAGGATTTATGAAACTAATTCACTATATCTTCTGCTTAGATTTCTTTTACCAGAAGAAAATGTGTGCAACGAGATGTTGGTAAAATCCCAGTTTGTTGCTTGTATGGCTACTTGTCATTCACTTACAAAAATTGAAGGAGTGCTTTCTGGTGATCCACTTGATTTGAAAATGTTTGAAGCCATCGGATGGGTAAGTCAAATACTTAACTTTAGGAAAATAATAGTAAAAATTAAATTACCTCATGGAAGGATTATTTCTGCTTTTTGTTTTAATGACAGTCTATCTCACACCCTAAAAGGAACTATATGATTTCTAAAGATAATCACTGGAGAAATATTTTAAAAATCATGCAAAAGTAACTTTTAGTTAACCCATTTTATACAACACCTTTATTAGAGGCTGACCAGCCCAGGTTCCTGCTTTGTGTGTAAGATAAACCAGGGTTCAGCAACTTGGGGCGATAGGCCAGAAGCCAGTAAGATGATCTTAACTGACATAATTTCTTGGCCACAGGCAAAGCAGTATAAAATCCTACATCTTCATTGTTCTTTTTTACTGTTTACTGTGTCCACACACATGCACATGTTTTTGTTTGTTTGTAAATTCCTTCTATTTTTGCCATTGGTAATTTTAATTTCTAAATACCTGCTTATGTTCTCTGGTTGTTACCATTTTACAGCATTCAGTTCTTCTTTATTTTATTTACTTATTTTTTTTGAGATGGAGTCTTGCTCTGCTGCCCAGGCTGGAGTGCAGTGGCACAATCTCAGCGCACTGCAACCTTCTCCTAGGTTCAACTGATTCTTCTGCCTCAGCCTCCCAAGTAGCTGGGACTACAGGCACGTGCCACCATGCCCAGCTAATTTTCATATTTTTAGTAGAGACGGGGTTTCACCCTATTAGCCAGGCTGGTCTCAAACTCCTGACCTCATGATCCACCTGCCTCAACCTCCTGAAGTGCTGGGATTACAGGTGTGAGCCACCGTGCCCGGTCTTCAGTTCTTCTTTTATCAATACAAAGACAGTTCAATTTTAGAGTTCTCTTCTGGCTTCTGAATTATTTATTTTCTTTGGAGTTAGGGTCCCCTCTGCCCCCTGCCCCATCCTTGGTGTCTCTCCTTCATGCTTTTGGTTTTTGTTGTACATCTGGATGGCACTTTTTAAATATAAAAATGAAGATCTGATTTGGTAATTCTGTATAGCTGCAGCGAGCTACTTAGAATTTTATCCTTGACCCCATGTGTATGTAAGTGTTTCTGAGAAGTGTCTCTCTAAGCAGAAAGGCTTGTTGGGGTGAGGGGGAGGTGGGGGATGGTGCTTGCTGTGTGTCTGAGAGTGGGGTCTTATCAACAGAGGTTCTTCAAGTTTCAAAGGAGTAGTTGCAGAGTTAGTCTTTCTGTTGCTTTCCTCACCCCTTCTCACCATGCTTGCACATATGGTGCTTTGTATTCTGGAATCCTCACCCTCATGTTAGCAGCCTTTACTCCGGTCAGACATACAGTTTTTGTCTCTGGAGGAGGACTCTGGTTTTTTTGTTTGGCTTTCTTTTGCTCAGCGATTCTGGCTGTTAAATGTTCCTGTCTCACCTGGTGTCTTGTGTTTGTTCTGGGCTACTGTTTCCCTCGCCTTTGTATCCTTCTGTAGGTTTCAGTTTGCCCTTTGTTTCCATATTTGAAATCCCTTCCTTCAGGTTTGCTTTCTGTTTACATTTACAGGATCCTTCCTCCCTTCTTCCTTGCCTTCCCACCTCCGTCCCTCCCTACCCACATTTTGAAAGGGAGGGAGTGGGGGCACTGGATAAATGCTCCATCTGCCAACTACTGAAAGTCCAGGGTAAACACTCTTGAAATTTAATTCCGTAAAGGGGGTCTCACATCATTTATAGAGAGCATAACAAAAATGGGCAGATTTATCTTTCTTCTGTAAGCTTTCTCCAATTGAATAGATTTTTCACTTGAATTTAATGTTCAGTGTTTATGGATCTTCAAAAAAATTGATTCAGAAAATTTGTATAATGGCATATTTTGTTGGCCCTGAGTTGCTTTGATACTTGATTCTGCCAGAGCTTACTTATCAATGAAATGGTTTCACCTAGCCAGTCACAGCTGTGACGTGATGCGACTGATGTCATATAAGAGGCATTCCAATTTTAGAGATGTTAAGGTATGAAAAAAGCTGTCTTAGAATTGTACAAAATTGTCTCATTTTCCACAGTTCCCTATCATTTTCTCATCGATTGATCCCTCCAGTTACAGTGTCTTGTATGTGTGTTTAATGTTTTTCTTTGACTGTTTTTCACCAGAAAAGGTTTTTTTTAAAAAGTAGTAGCTTAACTAGAAGTATTCAAGCTGAAAAACTCTTAAACTCATATCTTTGTACTTCAGCTGTTCTTGACACAGCGGTTCTGTTAACCATGTCTGAGCTCTGTGTACTTTTGAATCACTTCTTACTAGCAGAAAGGAATCACTGGATGAGACTGAAAATTCTGGGGACTGCAAGAACCTTTTGTTTTCTGCAGAGCTAGTCTCCAGACCCAAGTTTTAGGGGCAAAGTGAGAGAAGTTTCTATTTCTTCTGCTTCTGACCCTGAATGAAGCAACCCTTCTCGTAATGGTTGCTAGGTATCTAACTCACCAGCTTTGTTGATATTTTCTTTTACTTATGTTAGTGATCCAGTAGTGCTCATTTGTTCCTTGGTCATATTTTTTTTTTTTAAATTGCTGAAAATGGCCATAATGTTCCATTTAAAAATGGAAGCATGAGTTTTTATGAAGCAGTGCTTAAATGTCCCCCCCCCCACCCCCCCAGATTCTGGAAGAAGCAACTGAAGAAGAAACAGCACTTCATAATCGGATTATGCCCACAGTGGTTCGTCCTCCCAAACAATTGCTTCCTGAATCTACCCCTGCAGGAAACCAAGAAATGGTGAGAAATCACTTAAAGCTAGATAAAACTGTTGGTGCTTACTTATGTTTATTTTTTAATTTTTATTTTTTTATAGAGACAGGGTTTTGCTGTGTTGCCCAGGCTGGTTTCAAACTCCTGGGCTCAAGTGATCCTCCCACCTTGGCCTCCCCAAGTGCTGGGATTACAGGTGTGAACCACTGCACCCGGCCTGCTTACTTTCATTTAATTCTCATTTTGAAATGTTGGTAGAAGAGGAAGGCCCAAATCCTTTATTTAACTCTTATACTGATATTTGAATATTTTAACTGCATTTATCAGAAACTACACCTCTAGTATGTTTTACACATTTTTAAAAAAATGTTGAGATTTAATTCTCAGTACTATCACTTTCTTTCCTATGTACTGAGCAGCTTAGTGCCTTGTGATTTATACAGATGGTGGTTAATCCTCTTATATTGCATCTATATTCCTAGAATTTAATAAAAAAGTATATATGAAAGCCTTTACTTTTAGGTGAATTTTAAAATATATTCCCCTTAGTTTATTATTATTTTTTGAGATGGAGTCTCGCTCTGTCACCCAAACTGGAGTGCAGTGGTGAGATCTCAGCTCACTGCAACTCAGCCTCCCAGGTTCAAACAATTCTCTCACCTCAGCCTCCTGAGTAGCTGGGATTACAGGCACACACCACCATGCCTGGCTAATTTTTATATTTTTACTAGAGACAGGGTTTCACCATGTTAACCAGTCTGGTCTTGAACTCCTGCCCTCACGTGGTCCAGCCACCTCAGCCTCCCAAAGTGCTGGGATTACAGGTGTGAGCTACTGTGCCTGACTAGTTTATTTTCTAATAAGGGTTGCAGACAAGTGATGTGTACACTTTTTTGCACCTCTTAGTTTATTTTAGTACTTTAAAATGTTAATATTTTTGGGATAGCAGAACATTTGAAAATATTTAAGAACATACTTTTTAAAAATGGGAAGTAGTATGTATAGAAGGAATCTTGAATCCAGACTTTGAAAACAGTTGCTTGTTTTTTTTACCAAATAATGTTTTTTGGAAGCTTAGTAAACTTTTTCTAACTTTAGTGTGTTAATAGAGTTAATCTGTACTATTTCTTCTCGTTTTGTTTCATTTTTAGGAGCTGTTTGAACTTCCAGTAAGTGAAGAATGTTGACTTGTTACCTAAGTATATTTGTTTTGATTCTTTAAGAATAATAAGTGCTTTGTGCATCTTTTGAAATTCTATAGGCTATTTATGAGATAGGAATTGTTCCAGTAAGTGAAGAATGTTGACTTGTTACCTAAGTATATTTGTTTTGATTCTTTAAGAATAATAAGGGCTTTGTGCATCTTTTGAAATTCTATAGGCTATTTATGAGATAGGAATTGTTCCAGTAAGTGAAGAATGTTGACTTGTTACCTAAGTATATTTGTTTTGATTCTTTAAGAATAATAAGGGCTTTGTGCATCTTTTGAAATTCTATAGGCTATTTATGAGATAGGAATTGTTCCAGTAAGTGAAGAATGTTGACTTGTTACCTAAGTATATTTGTTTTGATTCTTTAAGAATAATAAGGGCTTTGTGCATCTTTTGAAATTCTATAGGCTATTTATGAGATAGGAATTGTGCGCCAGTTTCCATTTTCCTCTGCTTTGCAACGTATGAGTGTGGTTGCAAGGGTGCTAGGGGATAAGAAAATGGATGCCTACATGAAAGGAGCGCCTGAGGTCATTGCCAGTCTTTGTAAACCTGAAACAGGTAAGCAAGTATCTATGCTTTGGATAAAATTCTGGGATTTGTGTCAACTTGTATTAGCAATTTTAACAATGAAATTTACTTTTTCTTTTAAAAAGTTCCGGTTGATTTTCAAAAAGTTTTGGAAGACTTCACTAAACAGGGCTTCCGTGTGATTGCTCTTGCACACAGAAAATTGGAGTCAAAACTGACATGGCATAAAGTACAGAATATTAGCAGGTAAGATTGAACAGCTTTCCTACGCAGGTTTTCCAGTCATAATCATTTATGTTTATATCAGTCATACACAGTAATTTGCATGTAATTGAGTATTTATTAAATATTGAATGTATGAAAATATATATAATATTGTTTTAGGTGATTGAAGTAAAAGTACATTTTCCCCACTGCCTAATTTCCTTTTATTCTGGGTTTGTTTGTTTATTTGTTTGTTTTGAGAGACAGTCTCACCCTGGACGCAGGCTAGAGTGCAGTGGCGCAGTCTCAGCTCCCTGCAGTCTCTGCCTCTCAGGTTCAACCGATTCTTGTGCCTCATCCTCCCAAGTAACTAGGATTATAGGCATGTGTCACTGTACCCGACTATTTTTATATTTTTAGTAGAGACAGGGTTTTTGGCATGTTGGCCAGGCTGGCCTCAAACTCCTGGTCTTAAGTGATCATTCTGTATTGACTGTTTACCTGTGTTTCCTTATGCTATTGTAATACCATGTGTTTTTTACTTAGAGCACTTTGAAATGATTTTCAATTTGTTAAATATTTATTCTGTGCCCTCTATGTGTCAGGCACATTCCAAGAATAGTAAATGCAATTTTATAGAACTTTATTTTCTCCAGTTGATCTTCTAACTTTTGCCCAGAGGTTGGATCTAATTTGATCGGAATATAATGTTGAGTAACTAAGCCTCTTCCACCTGACTTGTTTCCAAATCCCCAATACTCTCCCCATTCCCCCCTTGTCAAATGACATCACCAGTGTCACATTCAAGGATTGTCACTTTTACTGTAACTGATACAGACCTACCTTTGAGGACAGCATTTTTGTTTAGGAATATTTCATGATGTACCTAGCAGTTTGTAAGCATCTTTGTTTAGAAATATTTCATGATGTACCTAGCAGTTTGTAAGCAGAAAGGAGTATCACTTGACTGTCCTGCTAATTCTGCCTATTTGGCGGAGGGGGTCTAAACGTGAGTTTTTTTTTTTTTTTTTTAAAGAAAAACCTCTACCCAAATTATGTGATACATATGCATGTCAGGAACCACAAATGTATATAATATATCCTAATCCCTACTAAGGACATATTAGTCTCTTCTTAGTTTATAGTTTCATACTAGCAAGGGTGCTAGGGGATAAGAAAATAGATGCCTTTTGCCATTCTCCCCCTTAAAAACGAATTATTGAATTGTCGATAGTTCTTGAGACTGTCATTTTCAGACATCCTTCTATGCCACTGGGTAGACTCTTCTTGTGCTGAGAATACTCTGTCCCTCCTTAACTTTCCTCTCTTTCTCTACTCTGTTTGTTCTTTACCCTTCAACTGAGACCACCTCTGTGTTCCTATTCCACCTTGTAGGAACAGGTTTTAGCATTTCCCTTATAGCTTAAGCTTTTATGTCTTGAATATTGGAGTATTCACTAACTAGAGGGTAAGATTTCCATGACCTGTATCATTCATATGGCATAGAGAGAGAGAGGAGACCAGCTGAAGCCAGAAACTAGTGCCTGAAGGAAAATGGCTTAGTACTTTTGACACAGTAGCTTCACCTTGACAGAGCTTTGTGCTTTGAAATACAATTTCAGGTTTCAAGGCTTTTTCCTACTGTTACCACCAGCAGTTTCATTTATATTAATCTTCTCAACTATTCTCTAATGTTCTTACCACCCATTGTTAGAAATTGTGTGTTTCAAAAGATTTTAGGTTTCATAGGTAGGTATATACTTCAAGCAGCTTTTATTGGAATTTTATTAGAAAAATAATTTGGTTATTCCAAGTTTGAAATTCTAGTCTCTGACCTTAGATCCTCTTCCTTCCACCTTGAGCAAAAAATTTCTACGATAAAATTAAGGTAGATTGAGATATTTTTGGTTTGTTTGTTTCTTTTGAGATAGGGTCTCTCTTTGTTGCTTAGGCTGGAGTGCAGTAGAACAAACATGTCTCTCTGCAGACTTGACCTCCTGGGCTCAAGCGATCCTCATGCCTCAAGGCTTCCTAGTCGTGGGACTACAGGCACGTGCCACCATGCCCAGCTGATTGTTTTTTCAGTATTTATAGAGACAAGGGTTTCACTATGCTGCCCAGGCTGGCCTCAAACTCCTGGGTTCAAGCAGTCCTCCTGTCAGCCTCTCACACTGCTGGGATTACAGGCATGAGCATGCCAAACCTGATATTTCTTAAGAATGTGACTATCACTGAACAGACTTCTTCTCTTTTATAGTGCTAAAACACATTATTTTTGTGTGCATCTCTTTGGTTGCATGTCTGTTTCCCCACCCAAGTTTCTTGAGAGTAGAGACCATCCCTTTTTGTCTTTAACCTCCCAATGACTAGCACAGTGCCTGCTCCATTGTAAATACTTAGTTATTTAAACAGTAACATCTTGATAATTATATTAGTAATATTTTCAAAGACCCATCTCTGGGTCCCGAGTTGATCTCATTGTTGGATTGCTAATGGCTCTTGTGTCACATTTTCAGGATCAGTAATTGTTTTATAGACTTGATCTGAGACTTGATAATGAATCCATGAAAACTGCAGTGATTGTGCTTGAGTCACAGTTTTTCCTTTTTCACTTAACATTTAAATTAGGATATGTTGTAGAGGGCAGTAAAGAATAGCTTTATGCTTACACATTTTTGGATAGAGCGCAAAGTGAATATTCCTTAGTACTGGAATTGTTTAGTGGCATACATTTCCAAATGGTTATTATATAGAGATATTGAACTCCTGAACACACCTGGTTTATTCGGCATATAAAAATGTTAATTCATAGCTTTTTAAAATTGCTTTATAACTTAAGACATTTTTAATTGCTTAGATATTTTAAATTAAGTGTGTATACATAAATTGCTTACTCTCTTGACTAAACCATTATGTGTTAAAACTTCTTTTTCTGCAGAGATGCAATAGAAAACAACATGGATTTTATGGGATTAATTATAATGCAAAACAAATTAAAGCAAGAAACCCCTGCAGTACTTGAAGATTTGCATAAAGCCAACATTCGCACTGTCATGGTCACAGGTTAGACTTTATAAAAGAACACAGAAAAAAATTGAGTGTGACAGAGTTCAAGTTATACAGTATTGAGGGATAATCAGTTATAAAATCATGTATTATATAGTGGCTCCAACCTGCGTTCTCTTTTAGCTCTTGCATATTCTTTTTGACGTCTAGCAAATCCTTTTTATAGAAAGTATAGTAAAATATTAAAAGTACACTGTAAAAATGTACATTAGGCTCCTTTTTATCTCTCTTTATATATTTCTTATAGTACTTATTGTACCTTGTGTTATTTGTAGATTTGTTTTCTCTGCTAGAGTGTTAGATTCTTGGCTGGTCGCGGTGGCTCACACCTGTAATCCCAGCACTTTGGGAGGCCGAGCCAGGCGAATCACCTGAGGTCAGGAGTTCGAGACCAGCCTGACCAACATGGAGAAACCCTGTCACTACAAATTTTGTATTTGTAAAAATACAAAATTAGCTGGGCGTGATGGCACATGCTGTAATCCCAGCTACTTGGGAAGCTGAGGTAGGAGAATCATTTGAACCCAGGAGGTGGAGGTTGCGGTGAGCTGAGAATGCACCATAGCACTACAACCTGGGCAACAAGAGCAAAACTCCATCCCTCCCCCTCCAAAAAAAGGATTCTTGAGGGTTAGGAATATATTTTACTCATTTCTGAGGTCCTTTGCAATTTTTAGAACTGTCAAGTACGTAGTAAATGATTAATAGATATTTGATAGAATTACATTTTTACATATAAGATACTGTTTATTACCCCAGCTTGAATTCTAGTGCAATAGCCAATTTTTTTTTTCTAGCACATTTAAGGGATTCTCCTGGTGTTACTATACTGTTAATAATATTACATAACTCCTATTCCTTAGCTGTGTGAAATTGTGGTAGCTCTTTTTATTTCCTTAGCATATAAGTAGATTTAAGATACTTTATGGTACTTACGTGTTCAGTAAGACTAATATGGAGAAAGTGTATACATTTTTGTGTTTTAGACTCTGGGATCTATCTAATAACATGCTTTTACCATGTAACTCAAGGTGACTAAGTGTGTTAGCATCCCAGTAATTCTTAGTTCTTATGTCTCCTCTGTCAGGGCACTTTTCACCTGTACCTCATCAACCTCTTTTTATTTTTTTCCCCTTGCCAGAGTATGGCTTTGTGTACCTAAGGTCATAGGAAGATATTCTTGGAAATAGTATGTGGGAATTGAGGAAAGAAATATCTCACTCTTCTGTTTTGGTAGCAGTGGGATCCACAAACCTTTGCCTGCTTTCTTTAAGATTCCATCCTTGCTGCTTTTCTGTTCTTCTCATGACTGACAAGTTGTCTTGCTTCTCATTTACATCTGTTCCTATTACCTTTCTTAACTTTTTGTTTTGTATAATCTTGCTTTTGCAATTCATCCTTTTCTATGGTATGGTGCTTGTGTTCTTGCATAGACCACTAGTCACTGCAAAGTTATTTCGATAAATATCTATTGAGCCACCTGCTCTGTGTGTAGCACTGATCCAGGTATTGTGTGGTTACAAATAGTGCATGACTGGAAAAGATTGAGAATTGTATTTGGCTTCAAACATTGTGGGTGAGACGTTTTCGTTAGCATATACATATGCTTGCATTATTGGAGGCTGCTTTTGATAAGTATGCTCCAGTTTTGTTATTTTTAAACTCTAGAGGAAAGGACTATAGATTATGTTTGTTTTGGCAGCACAGTCAGGGAGACTGTAGTAGATTCTCAGCAAGTACTTGTTTGATACGTTCACGTTTCCGTTTTAATTTTAATACATTTAAAATATTTTTAAAATTAGGTGACAACATGTTGACTGCTGTCTCTGTGGCCAGAGACTGTGGAATGATTCTACCTCAGGATAAAGTGATTATTGCTGAAGCATTACCTCCGAAGGATGGGAAGGTTGCCAAAATAAATTGGCATTATGCAGACTCCCTCACACAGTGCAGTCATCCATCAGCAATTGACTCAGAGGTAATGTCAAGATTAATTGTCCCTTTTGAAGTTTGTTGGTTTAAATTTAGTCTGTGATGCATTAAAACACAGTAAAGCAAAAACTAAATGAAAACAGAAATCTGGGCTATTTTTTTTTTTGTCTTTTTGTTTTTTTCCTTTTTGTGGAGAACAGGGTCTCGCTATATTGCCCAGGCGGGTCTCGAACTCCTGGGCTCAAGCTATCCTCCCGCCTCTGCCTCCCTAAGAGCTAGGATTACAGGCGGTTTGGGCTATTTTTTCAGAGATTATATTTCACTGGGACTGGTGCAGACCCAGAAATCTCAGTGTTCAAAGTTTGATATTTAGCCAGAGATGAGAAGCATAGTTTTAAAGTATAAGAATTCCAAATGTTTATTGTACTCTTCACGTAACTAGTGGTAAAAGATGTAGGTGGTCCATCATACTCAGTTCATGCATCGTTTCAAATTGAAGCTCATGTTTAATTGAGTTTCTTTTTACTTTGAATAAATGTCAGGCTTTCGTTGTATTGTGTAACATGTCAAAGGAAAGAATTCAGTTTTAGAACAAATATGTTTAAAATAGAATTGTTTTACTTGGTTTGGGAACATCTAAATAATGTTCCCAATGTCTCATACACAGGATATTCCAGTTAAATTGGTCCATGATAGCTTAGAGGATCTTCAAATGACTCGTTATCATTTTGCAATGAATGGAAAATCATTTTCAGTGATACTGGAGCATTTTCAAGACCTTGTTCCTAAGGTAAGTAATTTGGATGTATGTATGTATTCACATGAATACATCGTGAACAATATTTTTAAGAAATTTACATTACTTTTTCCAGTTGATGTTGCATGGCACCGTGTTTGCTCGTATGGCACCTGATCAGAAGACACAGTTGATAGAAGCATTGCAAAATGTTGAGTAAGTCTTTTGTTGTTGTTTTCTGATGAATTATGGTTTCATTTCAGCATCAGAAAAATAATTTTTATACATGTTTCTTACACTAATTTCATATCTTTATATATATAATTGTGATCTGTAAGATACACGAAAACTTTAAGTGCCTCTTTAAAAGAGGCTCATATACTTAAGCTAAAGTGAAATATCCGGGTACTACCTATGACTTCATTCTTTCAGGTGTTCTATCTTGATAGAAGTGACTGTATCATTTTAGCCAGAGATGAAACAGTCGTTTCATGTTATTCAGGGAGAATTTTTTGCTGATAACTTTAAAAGTAGCTATGCTAAAGACTGTAGGCACGGTGCTTTTCTCTAAAGATGAGGAAATTGAGACACCAAAATGATTTGCCAATAATGTGACAGAAATAGGACAATAACCTAGGTCATTTCACTTGCAGTCTGTTGCAGAGCAGCACACAATATAATGTGTTCAACATCATGAAAAGATTCATTAGTTTCACTGGGGGAATCTTGTTGTGTTAGTGCTTTATAATATTGTAATAGAAAAATCTTAATAAGTTAAATGTTTTATAGTTTAAGAAATTAATTAAAACCTTAACACTGTTTTGTTTCTTAGTTATTTTGTTGGGATGTGTGGTGATGGCGCAAATGATTGTGGTGTAAGTATAGTTTTTGTGATTTATTTTTGTAGTTCTTACTGTAGCCTAAATCATATTCACCAAACCTAACCAGTTTTATTTATATTATTAGGCTTTGAAGAGGGCACATGGAGGCATTTCCTTATCAGAGCTTGAAGCTTCGGTGGCATCTCCCTTTACCTCTAAAACTCCTAGTATTTCCTGTGTGCCAAACCTTATCAGGTAATACAAACTAAAATTATTCTCGTCCCTTTTTATCTTGCTCTAGTAATACAGAAGAGAAAATTGTCATAAAAAGTAATGTGAATTTGTTTAATATTAGCAGATTAGCACATTTGAGCTGTAACTTCTTAGTAAATGATTGCTATTCCTCATGTGGTGGCTAAGCACTTTGTTGTAGCTGTTGAATATTGACATTCATTTGTCAAGATAAAATTGTGGTTTTGGAAAAGGAGTTGAAAATGCCTTTATTCATATGCCAACATTTAATTTCTTTTCACAGGGAAGGCCGTGCTGCTTTAATAACTTCCTTCTGTGTGTTTAAATTTATGGCATTGTACAGCATTATCCAGTACTTCAGTGTTACTCTCCTGTATTCTGTAAGTATTAACATGCGCAGGGATAACACTTAATGTGCACAGTAAATTAAGATGTTGAGCATGTATGTTTGATTTTGAATGCATCCATTTGTAATTGAGTTTATGTGAGTAGTACCTATAAATTGTCCTTCAATTTACTGTGCTTGAATAGCAGACTGAAAGTTGGAATGAGAGAAGATGTTTCAACAGTGGTTTGTTGAATTTGGAGAATGGTTTGCATTTGGAGAAAAAGTATAAATAGTGATGCCCACAGGTACCCTATCAGATTTTATAATCAAAGTGTTTGGACATCCTAAAGACTCAATGCTGACACTGTCCCATTTTACCATCTGTAGAAAGTATCAGAAGGGATGGTATTAGATATTAAGGAAACTTCCAGATACAAATTTACAAGGTTGAATATTTTGAGTAAATGTTTGTGTTTTCTTTTTGCCGAAAAACTTTTTAGAGGTTTTTATTGATCATAAATTTTTTTTTTTTTTAGGCAGATTCTTGCTCTGTTGCTAGGCTGGCGTGCAATGGTGCAATCTCGGCTCACTGCAAGCTCTGCCTCCCAGGTTTAAGCAATTCTCCTGCCTCAGCTTCCAAGTAGCTGGGACTACAGGCACACACCACCACGCCCAGCTAATTTTTGTATTTTTAGTAGAGACAGGGTTTCACCATGTTGGCCAGGTCTCTATCTCTTGACCTCACGATCTACCCACCTTGGCCTCCCATAGTGGTGGGACTACACAAGTCTGCCACTGCTTCCGGCCTATTGATGAATTTTAAGAAGATGCATTTTATACTAATGTACTAAACCAAATATTTGTAAATATATGTTATATTTAATTAATTTCAAAGACACATATATTTCACTTTTTAAGCAGGTCCAAGTGTCATTTTTAAGTTGTCATTATTGGGAAATCCAAACTATTAATAAAGCCTGGGGACAATGCTATAAAAATAGTTCCTGAAAACTAATAATGTTTTTAAAATTACTCTGTAGATCTTAAGTAACCTAGGAGACTTCCAGTTTCTCTTCATTGATCTGGCAATCATTTTGGTAGTGGTATTTACAAGTGAGTATTTTGCTTTGTTATTCATCTTTAAAGTATATGAAATTATGATATGACTTACTAGATTCTGGTAAATTTACATCAACAATTGTAACAGCTCACACTTCTCCAGATGCCTTGTAAATATTTTATTTTATTGCCAGTTGTTTACATCTTGCCCCGTTTATTTCATTGTTCTATTTTTTTTTCCTGAAATATTTGAAAATAAGTTTGGAGTCATTATGCTCTTTTGCCTCTGGCAATTTAAGTGTATTTTTCCTAAAAGCAAAACCATTCTTTTATGTAACTAAATACAGTTGTAAAGATCAGGAAATTTAACATTAGTATAATATTATCTGGTCCAAAACTCGTATTCAAGATTTGTCATTTGTCTCAATAATGCCCTTTATGCCTATTTTCCCCTAGTTTCCTAGATTAGAACCAGGGTGTAATCCAGGTCCACACATTTCATTTAGCTACCATGTCTTTTTAGTCTTCTTTAATCTGGAATAGTCTTGTTTTTAGGGGCTCTTGATGCTAACATTTATGAAACAGTGTAGCCAGTCAGTTTGGGTTTGCCTGATTTTATTTTTTATATATAAAAATGTAATTCTATCAAATATCTATTAATCATTTATTAGGCTGTAAGTTTTTGGCAGGAAGATCACGGAAGTGATGGTGTGTGTTCCTCCAGGTGCACCATATAAAGAGGCATAAGATGTTGGTTTGTTCCAGAATTGGTGATATTAACATCTAAATAAATAATGATGATAATGGGATGTGAACCACTGAATCAAATGAAAATTCACAAGTCCATCTGATTGAAGAAGGGAAAGCTCTTCCCTACAGTAAATGCTAACTAATAAAGGAAGGAATTAGACTATGCTATTTTAGGCAGGTAATTCTTTGTTGTTGGAGCTGTTCTGGGCATTGCAGGATGCTTAGCAGCATCTCTGGCCCCCTCCTTACTAGCTTCCAGTAACTGTCCACGTTGTAACAACCAAATATATCTCCAGACATTGCCAGATGCTCCCCTGGGGTGCAGAATTCTTTGGTTGAGAACTACTTATCTTTAATAGATGATAAAACTGGTGAAAGTTTGATGAGGAGCAGGATTTTTACAAAGTATCTTTTCACAAGGTACTAGTTAAAAAAGGAAAAATAGAAACTTTATTTTTTTGAGAAAGAGTGGCCCTCTGGAGTGTAGTGGCATGATCTCAACTCACTGCAACCTCTGCCTTTCGAGTTAGCTATTCTGCCTCAGCCTCCTGAGTAGCTGGGATTACAGATGCATGCCACCATGACTGGCTAGTTTTTATATTTTTAATAGAGTCAGGGTTTCATCCTGTTGGCCAGGCTGGTCTCAAATTCCTGACCTCAAGTGCTCTGCCTGCCTTGGCCTCCCAAATTGCTGGGATTATAGGTGTGAGCCACCATGCCTGGCTGAAAAATAGAAACTTTACAGTGGAAAACTTGTGGACACCACCTTAAGTAATTAAAGCCTTTTTAAAAAATGTTTCTGTTGTGTTTATATTGCTTCAAACATTGTTAATGTCTTAAGAGGAAGAAGTATGTATTATTTTAACTGTAGTTTTGCAATTAAAGGTTCAGAAAATAGGGTTGTGCATGGTGGCTCACGCCTGTAATTCGCATACTTTGGGAGGCTGAGGCAGGCGGATCACGAGGTCAGGAAATTGAGACCATTATGGCTAACACTGAGAAACCCCGTCACTAGTGAAAATACAAAAGATTAGCTGGGTATGGTGGCACGTGCCTGTAGTCCCAGCTACTTGGGAGTCTGAGGCAGGAGAATCACTTGAACCCAGGAGGCTGAGGTTTCAGTGAGCCAAGATCGCACCACTGCACTCCAGCCTTGGTGATAGTGCAAGACTCTGTCTCAAAATAAATAAATAAATAAAAATTCAGAAAATAATGGTCTCTTAAATATATGAGATGATTAACTTTATAGTTCTTGTGTTTATATTTAGTTTTACTATTTTTTTAATTAAAAAAATTTTATATCTGGGGCCCTTCTTATTTTCTAATTTAAAAATTAAAACATTTTTATTATAGAGATGGGGGTCTCACTTTGTTGCCCAGGCTGGTCTCAAATTCTGGGCTCAAGTGATCCTCTCACCTTGGCCTCCCAAATTGCTGGAATTACAAGCATGAACCACCACTCCTGGCCTAGTTTTATTTTTATTTGTCAGTGTTTCTGCTGAATTTCAATAGAAATGTAAAAATCATTCCTGAGGCATTTTTCAAAAAAGCCCATACTGTTTACAGATTATTTAAATATGGTACGATATGTGGCTTAGTTTTTGGGGAGTTTTTATATTAAAAAGTTGTTAGGCAAAAACAAATTTTTAAAGTTCCTAAAGAATCCAGTTCTGCCTTTTATAGTGACAGATTAATGTAGATACAAACCTTTCTTCTTTTTATTTTTAATATAGTGAGTTTAAATCCTGCCTGGAAGGAGCTTGTGCCGCAAAGACCGCCTTCGGGTCTTATATCTGGGGCCCTTCTCTTCTCCGTTTTGTCTCAGATTATCATCTCCATTGGATTTCAATCTTTGGGGTTTTTTTGGGTCAAGCAACAACCTTGGTATGAAGTGTGGCATCCAGAATCAGAGTAAGTTGGTCAGTCTGTGTAAGAATTTACATAAAATATGTGCAACATATATGATATAAAAATGAGTTTAGAAGTTTATATAAAAGTTTGTGCCAGTCCCAGTGGCTCATAGCTGTAGTCCCAGTACTTTGGGAGGCCGAGGCAGGTAGATCACTTGAAACCAGGAGTTCAAGACCAGCCTGGCTAACAAGGCGAAACCCTGTCTTTACTAAAAATACAGAAATTAGCTGGGCATGGTGGCTCCTGCCTGCAATCCCAGCAGTTTGGGAGGCTGAGGCAGGAGAATCACTTGAACCTGGGAGGCAGAGATGTCAGTGAGCCAAGAGATTGTTTTTTGAGATAACATTTGCATGAGGACTTCTTTAAACACTTCCATGATTTGGCCTGTATTTGCCTTTCTATCACGGTCACTCCTTCTGGCTTTGGGAAGATGTTCAGGCAAAATCCTAATAATCACTACCAAGATGGGGACCTTAGATCAGTTTCTTAATTTGCTGCTGAGCCTTACTTATCTGTAAAATAAAAAAGTTGGAATTAATCTCTGGGGCCTCTTCTAAACCAAGAGTATTTTGTACTTCTAATCTTTCTTCCCCCAGGTTAGGAAATGGCATTTAAAACTTATGGGGAAAAATTAATTAGGTGCTAGTGTTCTATGGATCACAACATATAATATTGTTTTAATTAATTAAACATATACGTTGTGGAATTAAATTTTTAGATGTAAACATTTATTTCCAGTTTGATTGCGAGGTATTGTCTTTAAAAATTTGAGAAGATTTAAAGAAATTTAACATTACTTTTTTATATGTACATGAAAACACAGGAAAAAAAGGTAGACTTTTCTTGAGAAGCTTTCCATAGTTGCAGCAGATTAACATTTTGTGAGCACCTAGCTGTGTTTATAGTTAATGTTTTAGTAATGGCTGTTGGGGACTTCTCATAATGGTGTGTGTGCCTGATGGTCCTGCCTACCTAAAAGTAGAAATGAGGGAGAGCCATAGCTGGAGAATATTGAGGGCCATTTCAGCACTGGTGACTTGTGAGGCGTTTGCGCAAGTCATCCTGCTAGTCCCTATGTAAACTTGTTATGTAGGTACCAATATTTAACAGTGAGGAGGTAGGCTGAGAGAGAGAGTAACTAATACTTCCTCAGTTAGCACTGAAAAGTGATAGAGCTTGGGTCAAACCCATGGTCTGTCTGCTTTCACTCTACCAAAATTACTCCCCAAATTAGAAAACCGAGGGGGTCTTATTAAATATTTCTTACTTGATTCTAATTTTTGAAGTGATTGAGATGTCTGACTGAAGAGAAAACCCACATAAAATATGTGCAACATATATGATGTAAAAATGAGTTTAGAAGTTGATATAAAAGTTTGTGCCTGTTTTATACATCTTATGTTGGTATTGTTGGATCTTTTGCTGTAAATATCACCATGTTTCTATTATGGTAGTGATTCAGGGCAGTTAAGGTAAGATTGGTTTCTTTTGGGAAATGAGTGTTGTGTTTACTAATGCAAACATTTTTGTATATGTTCTAGTGCTTGTAATACAACAAGAAGCCTGTTTTGGAATTCTTCACACGTGGACAATGAAACCGAACTTGATGAACATAATATAAAAAATTATGAAAATACCACAGTTTTTTTTATTTCCAGTTTTCAGTACCTCATAGTGGCAATTGCCTTTTCAAAAGGAAAACCCTTCAGGCAACCTTGCTACAAAAATTGTAAGTTTGGCATTTACTGTGATTTCCAGCCCGCCTTGCCCCTTTGAAACAAATGTAGAAGAGAATAATCATAACAGTCTTTTCCATAGCAAACCAGATCTTCACAGATAGAATGAATGTAGTGATTTAGATGTTTACAGTTGTGTTTTACTTTCATTGGTCTTTGCCATCCTGAAATTAAAGCCATGAGTGCTGAACATTGCTGTTTTTCACATCCTGGTGCCTCTGGCTCCAGCATTTATTTCTGCAGCCCATTGCAGAGGAAGTTAGGATTGGAAGCAGAGACAGAGGTTCCTCAGTTGGACCGGTAGGTATTATACTTTCCTTCTGGGTGGTCTCCACAGCATCGGCTGTCTTCTTCATTTCTGACACTGGTATGGCCTGTGTTTACCTCTGGGATTCTTCGTTTCTAGTATCTTTGCATCTACTGTGAGAAGGGCCAGTATACTGAATGGAGGCCTGTGCCATGTGGACTTGTCTATGGCACTAGAATATATCATTTCGATTGATCAAAATTAGAGTTTATAGAAAAAACTCAGTTGCTATATCTAAATTGCCAATTAAAAAATTGAGAACATAGTAATGTATAGAACAACTTTTAGACTTAGCCTTCTGCAGTATTTTGGAGCGAATAGCAATTATTCTTTTTCTATAGTTATGACGAGGTGGCAGTGGTCTAGTTGGCAAGATGCCACAGGTATTGGTATGTCATAGGAGTAACAACTCTTAGTGTTTTGGTCTCATATTAGCATTTATGAGGCATTTTCTCATACGTTATCTTACGTCACTTCTACCCTGTTGGTTTGTAGGGCAAGTTTTATTACTTTGTATTTTGGACAGGTAAGATTAAAATCTAATCTTAGTGGTAATTTTTCCCTTTTTTTTAACCCTCTTTTTGGAACTGATGTTGATTATTTTAAAAATAATTATTATTTACTTATTAGTCATATATTGCTGTATAACTAATAGCGGTGTTACTAAGAAGTGTATTAGAACCATGCTGCAGGATGAAAAACTTTCCACAGAAAGTTTGCCACAGTATTTCTGAAAGAATTTCATCACTACAGGTAACTTACAAGGTGAATTTAATAATTAGAGTTGGTATTCGTTTTATTTTTAGTTCAGCATTTTTAAATTTCAAGGAAATATTGAATACATTTAAGAGTAGCTAAAAACATCTATGAAGAAACATTGCTTTTTTTTTTAATTTGAAGGAAACTGGTATTCAGACTGGTTTGCAAGCAAGACAGCTCTATCAAGAAAGTTAATTTTAGAGATCTACCCTATTCACACTGTTACAATTTTAAAAAAGAAAGGAAGAATATTAGTTGCCTGTTTCTAAAATACATCTTCTATATCTTTGGAAAACCTTTTAAAAAAAAAGGCTTAAGAAATTTTGTATTGTCATTTAATTTCCAATTTATTTGAATAAATAATAAACACTTTCATTTTGGCCACTGTATGATTTTAAAGATGTATTAAGATTATATTTAGCAGAAATATAACCATGAAACTATATTGTCTTGACTATTAGCAGCTTGTCTACTTGTCTCAGCGGGTAAACAGAAGCACATGCTGTTAGACAACATGCCTTCTGAAAAGCACAAAAGGAGCGTGCAGTTAACACAGGCATTCTGCTAGTTTTCACCTCTTGTCTGCTTGTCACTGGAGTCCATGAGTAGTCCTTTGCTAGGACCTGCCAGTTGTTCTCTATGAATGCTGTGTAATGTATTAAACGTATTTTGAAATTATTATTTTTTAAGAATTAATCTGTCTTAGGCATTTAAGGAAGTCTCTTCAGAGTTTTTTTCCTTTTTTGTACTGGTTCACTTTCAATCTAAATTAAACTTGACTTCAGTCTGTGTGGTTACCTGTTTTCAACTGCAGCTTCACAGTTACCTTTTTTCATTCAATTCCTTTCATTTCAAGGGTCATGCACTTAATTCTTAAGACACTCCTTTAACTAGATGTGATTTCTTGGGATTTGGCTTTAATTTTTTTTTCTTTTTGTCTGACATTACCCTAGGCTCGTCAGTCAACGGCTTCAATTTTTAACACAGTTTCTTGTTGGATCATCCCTCCAGTTTATTGCTTGTGCTATCCCTTTCTCTGTCTATGAAGGCATTCCTACTGAATTGCCAGTATGTTTCCTATTCAGGGCCTATGTATCTTTTTCCTGTTCATCTAACATGTCTAAATTGGCTGAAGCTGTTCAGATACCTAGAGGCCCTACATAATAAGATGACCTTTTAAAGACATAACTGGATAAGAGGAGAGGTATAGGAATAAAAAGGTTTAAGATTTGTGGCTGGAGGTTAGACGGTCCTAGTTATTGTTTGGGAAAAGAACAAAGGAGTTAAATAATCAGGGATGAATATTATATATGTATCTACTTTATTTCAGTCACTAAGGAGAATAGGAAGGAAATCCTTTCTGATACCTTATTTTGATGCCATAGTCCATCAGTGGGATCTGGTATCATTAACAGCACATCATATGTTGCCATAAGCTGAAAAATATTTAATAATGACTGCAATTTACATGTTGCTGTATACTTTGAATACTTAAAAATCTATTATTTTCTGTAGGATCCTCATCATACCCCATTTTATAGATAAAATAATTTGACTCTAAATGACTTGTTCAGATTCACATAGCTTTATGGAAGAGTCAATCTAAATCTGAGGACTCTTGGCCCTGGCCTGCCATCACCACTGACACAGAATTTTTTTTGATTATTGTATTCTGGTGAAGAATATTTATACTTTAGTACACTTACTAAGCCACTGCTTACAATGCCAGGAGAATCTAGGAGCTGGCTGCATAGTTTCTAAGAAATTCACACCTCTCTAAAGTGAATGCATGATTGAAATTCTTACTGATTTTAAAATTTTGTATGGTTATATGTCTGTTAGCCACCCTTCTCCTTGTCACTTGGTGTTTTTTTTGAATAATGCCTTTTTTTTCTTTCCAGGCTAAACAAAAGATTCAGTTACTTATTTTCCTTTTCACATGGAAATCTTGGCAGATTTTTTGAGGTGGGATCCAAGAGGTGGCTCTGGGAGAGACATGAAAATTTGAGAAACAAACATTGTTTAGGTAGATGTAAAGAAGCTAAGCCTGAGTAATTTTTTTTCCCCTAGCAACACACGTCAAGAACCAGATTGCAAATCTGCTTTTGCTGTAGTTTGAAAAATGCAGTCAGATTTGAAAAACATGCAATATGGGTTATTATTACTTTACTGAAAAAAATTTTTTTTTTTTTTTGAGACGGAGTCTTGCTCTGTTGCCAGGCTGGAGTGCAGTGGCGCAATCTTGGCTCACTGCAACCTCCGCCTCCTGGGTTCAAGCGATTCTTCCGCCTCAGCCTCCTAAGTAGCTAGGACCACAGGTGCTTGCCACCACACCTGGCTAATTTTTGTATTTTTAGTAGAGATGGGGTTTCACCATGTTGGCCAGGATGGTCTCGATCTCTTGACCTCGTGATTCACCCACCTCAGCCTCCCAAAGTGCTGGGATTACAGGCGTGAGCCACCGCGCCCGGCCTGAAATTCTTCTTCAGTTTCCATGTTTCTCTCTGCTATTTATCTTCTGATCATTTCTTTTCTCTCCTTTTTCTAATTTTGTATTCTCTCTTTGTTGTGTTTGGATACTTCCAACCAGCACTTTCTAAAACACTTTTTCCTTATCTGACCGTAACTACTTAAATGACCATAGAACTTACACAGTACTTTAGTTGCTGCATTTGTGAAACCGAATGTTACATTTCATATTTACAATTTAGTAGAATTGCTTTTTGCCCAACATTGCTCCCAAGTGTTTTTTTGTTTGTTTGTTTGTTTTTTTTTTTTTTTTTGAGATGGAGTCTCCCTTTGTTGCTCAGGCTAGAGTGCAGTGGCATGATCTTGGCTCACTGCAGCCTCCGCCTCCTGGGTTCAAGCGATTCTCCTGCCTTAGCCTCCTGAGTAGCTGAGATTACAGGCACCCACCACCATGTCCAGCTAATTTCTGTATTTTTTTTAGTATAGAGGAGGTTTCACCATGTTGGCCAGGTTGGTCTCGAACTCCTGACCTTGTGATCTGCCCACCTCAGCCTCCCAAATTGCTGGGATTACAGGCATGAGCCACCACACCTGACTGTTTTTTAAAAATCCTTTTTGTTAGTGTCTCATAGTAAAATGTGTCTCCGGTTTTGGCATAAGTGTTAGTATAAGTTTCAGCCTAAGCTACTAAAACTACATGTATATATGCACCCCTACACACTGGTATATATAAACATAAAAATGACAAATATATAGTATAGTTTTTGTAGAATGAAAAATATTTACCTGCAGGTGTGAATTGATAGTAACAAAGTTTGTATTTACAAATAGCTTCCATGTTTGAAAGTAGCACCGAGACCCTTCCTTTACTGTCAGTAAAAAGGATAGTAACTTCTTCACCCCGTCTGAAGGCTTCATGATAAGGTTTTTGTCTGTGGTCTTAGTAAAGTTTGAGTTTGAAGTGGACTTCAAATAGGAACTTGTGAATAAATGTCCAGATCAAAGGAAAAAGGGGAAAAGTTGGGGCTATCAATATAATTAGAAAATTTTTGAGCCACTTTTATGGCTTATTATTATACAAGTATATGCTTATATACATAGATGTATATGTGTGTATGTCCACACTTAAGAAAATGGCCATGAACAAGGAGTTTGGTTTTTGCATTAGGAAAGTGAGGCAAAGTACTGCTGGGTGGGTTTGCCATTCCCAGCTCCCATAGCAAGCCATAAGGGCAGCCCACTTTGAAAAACAGTACACCAACTCAGTCTCTTGGCTTTTAGCTAACATTTTCTGTGAAAATATTTTTGCAGAGTAGATCAATGAGATTCACTTATCAGAAATACATTTACATTTACGTTAGAATGCCTCTGTTTAGGATTAAGACATACCTACTACTGAAAATAAATGTTATTCAGCATTTTTACAACCAATAGTAATTGTCATTGAATGCATGTATTAAATGATAATCTCATTTTGCCACACATAGTCTAGTCTCTTATTTGTACATTATATATTGGCATTATTATCTTACAAAGTAGCTATCCATTTGGGCAAAATACAAATGGCCATGAAAGTGTGAATTGAATTTTTGTAAGTGCGGATTGTTTTCTGAAGTGCTTTTATAAGGTTAAAGCTAATGGGCTTTAAATAACCGTACCATCACTTCATGTATATGAATCTTTTGGGTGCCTTGAACAATATCACATCCTCTAGGAAATAACAGAGCACATACATTATTTCATCGGGCTTTAAATAACCGTACCATCACATCATGTATATGAATCTTTTGGGTGCCTTGAACAATATCACATCCTCTAGGAAATAACAGAGCACATACATTATTTCATCAACTGAAGTAAAACTATTCAAAATCAGATTTAGAAATGACAGTATATCAGTTGTTATTGGATGCCTTTTTATATAAAGGAATTTCCTAATTTGTTTTACTTTCTTTTCCAGATTTTTTTGTTTTTTCTGTGATTTTTTTATATGCTTTTATATTATTCATCATGTTGTATCCAGTTGCCTCTGTTGACCAGGTTCTTGAGGTAAGGCTTAATTAAACACATCATTTGTTTGGGGAAAAAGACCACCTGTATACATTTCTTTTTTTCCAGGATCTCTTATTTTCATATATTCTAAGATGCAGTTATATTAACCCAAAGGTACTCTACTAAGAATAAACAACCTAATTAAAACAACAGCTTTTATTGATTATACCTGTTTTAATCTCCGCTTCTGGTTCCATTTTATTGTCTGCAAACAAATTAAATGTCCCTTAGTCTTTAAAAAGAAAGAAGCCTCGATCCTGATGTCTGTTACTCCTCTCTTCTTTACCAGGCTGTTTCTTCAGCAGTCTACACATGCTCCCTTTTCTTTTTTGGCCATTTAGTTCTTCATTCTTTTCATTAAAAACTTTCTGAGTAATGAAATAGTTGTTTTTTCATTCAAAAGAATATGCACACATATTTAAGTTGTTAACCATAATTTAAAAATAGTAAAAAGATAACTCCCTGAGTGTATCATCCAACTTAAAAGAAATGAACATTACCTGAGCCTGAGTCAGTGATGAAAAGAAAACAAAAAAGGGTAGCATTACCAGTCAGTAAAGCACTCTCGTGTACCTGTTTTGATGATTTTCCCCTTCATTCCCGGTTTTCTTGATATACTTACCATATATGTTTGCAGTCATAAAAGATAGTTTTGTGTGCTCTTGAACTTTATGAAGATGTTATCTTGTTCTCCTTTTCTCTGTGACTTGTGTTCTCCCATCAACATTGTTTGTTGTTACATGTAATTTATTTTCACTGCTGTGTGGTATACAGTTGTAGGAGTATATTAAATTCATTTCTCTATTCTTTGTTGGTAAATAATTACTGAACATACTGTTGCTATGAACATGTTTTTACTGTATGGGGGCAAGTAATAGTGTATCAAAGAGTGAAATAGGAGTGGTTTATCCCAGGTACAAGCAGTGAGAGGGTGGTGCAATGCTGTAGAGAATTTGAAAGCAGTAATTAAGCTCACTAGAAGTCCATCTGCTTTTTTAAATATTGCCATGTGCTGATAATTCCATACCCTTTCAGTGATAGTATACCCCTTCCACTACTACCCTTGGCAAACCACTAGAGAAAAAAGGTTCCGCTGGTGTATTCTAGTGTAATGGTGAGCATGTACTCTTCAGCTACAATGCGTTGTTTTCCAAAGTGATTGCCTCAATCTTCCATCAGTGTTTGACAGCCTGTTGTTTCGCATCATTGCCAACACTTGGTCTTGTCTAGTGGGTGTAAAATGTTACATCGTGATGGTTTTAATTTGCCAATTAATTTTACTAATATAATTAAGCATTTTTCATTTGTTTAGTGGCCATTTTGATTTTGTCTGTGAACTGCCTCTTCATGCCTTCTGCCAATGTTTTTCTATTAGGATGTTGCCTTTTTTAAAACTTAGTTTTCAGAATTCCTAATGTATCATATTTGATTGTATAGGATAAATATCTTCCCCCAGTTTGTGGCTTGTCTTTTTACTTAATACCTGTTTTTAAAAAGCAAATTTGCCGGGTGCAGTTGCTCATGCCTGTAATCCCAGCACTCTGGGAGACCAAGGTGGGCGGATCACCTGAGGTCAGGAGTTCGAGACCAGCCTGCCAACATGGTGAAACCCCTGTCTCTACTAAAAATACAAAAATATTAGCTGGTCATGGTGGTGGGCGCCTGTAGTCCCAGCTACTCAGAAGGCTGAGGCAGGAGAATCGCTTGAACCCAGGAGGTAGAGGTTGCAGTGCGCTGAGACCGTGCCATTGCACTCCAGTCTGGACGACAGAGCACGACTCCATCTCAAAAAAAAGGAAAAAAAAATGTATAATCTGACAAGTCAAATTTAATAGTTTATTTATTTGTTCCTTTCTGTCTCGGTTTGGCAGACTTGTCCACCTCGAAGTTATAAGGTACTCTTCTTTCACATTTAGTCTTTAATCCATCTGAAATTAATTTTATGTATGGCTTTTGAATAGGGATTAGTTTTCTTTTTCTTTTTTTCTCTCATGAATACTCATTTGTTTCAGCAATTGCTTATTGAAGTTTGTCTTTTCCCACTGATATTCAGTAATACCTTTGTCTTATATCAGTTTGCCCCTCCCCTCCCCTTCCTTCCCCTCTGTAGACAGGCATCATATATAAGTAATTACAAGCTGTTTATTTCTGACATTTCATAGTCTTTATGTGTTTTATCTGTGTTTTTCATGTCTTAATATGTTGGTTACAGTGATAGCGATACCCTTGTCTTACTCTTGTCTCTAAAGAAAGTATTCCTCATATTTCACCATTAAATATACTATTTGGTATATTTAGTGTATGTCTTTATCAGGTTAAGGATGCTCCTTGGTAGTACAGTGTTGTTAACAGAAAAGGTTTTAAAATTTTATCTAATGCTTTTTCTTTTCTTTTTTTTTTTTTGAGATAGAGTCTTGCTCTGTCACCCTAGGCTGGAGTGCAGTGGAGCAGTCTTGGCTCACTGCAACCTCCCAGGTTCAAGCAGTTCTTCAGCCTCCTGAGTAGCTGGGACTATAGGCATGTGCCACCATGCCTAGATAATTTTTTTAAACTTTAAAATTAATTTTAAAAAATTTTAAAACTTTTTGAGACAGAGTCTCATTCTGTCACCCAGGCTGGAGTACAGTGGTGTGATTTCAGCTCACTGCAACCTTCACTTCCCAAGTTCAAGTGATTCTTCTGCCTCGGCCTCCCAGATAGGTGGGATTCTTCTGCCTAGGCCTCCCAGATAGGCACGTGCCTTGACACCTGGTTAATTTTTGTAGTTTTAGTAGTGACCAGGTTTCTCCATGTTGGCCAAGCTGGTCTCAAACTCCTGACCTCAGGTAGTCTACCTGCCTCAGCCTCCCAAAATGCTGGGATTACAGGCGTGAGCCACCACACCTGGCCTGTATTTTTAGTAGAGATGGGGTTTGACCATGTTGGTCAGGATGGTCTTGATTTCTTGACCTCATGATCCACCTGCTCGGCCTCCCAAAGTGCTGGGGTTACAGGTATGAGCCACTGCGCCCGGCCAACCTAATGTTTTTTCTACAGCTATTGAAATTACCACACAGTTTTTCTCCCAGAAGAATGTAATGAATTATAGCTGATCATATTCAAATATTGAACTAACTTTGCATTTCTAGAATATATTCAATTTGGTCATGATGCACTCTATTAAACCCTTTGGATTTAGGTTGCTATGATTTTTGTTTTGGATTTTTGCCTCTGCATGAATGAGATCAGATTTAATTTTCCTTTCTTGTATGTTATGGACAGGTTGGATCTTAAAGTTATATGAGTTATATAACTTAAATTACAAAGTTTGTGAAATGAGTATTCCATTGCATGGACTTTTTCATAATTTGTTTAGTCCTGTTTTGCTGGATATTTAGGTTGGTTCCATTGTTTTGGTACTATTAACAATGTGGTGTTGTAAATCCTTGCACACTTCAGTTACAGACGAATATTTATAGGCTAAATATGCAAAAGTAGAATTGCTTGGTCTGAGGGTATCCATAATTTTAATTTTCATAAATCCTACATTATTGAACTTTGAAGGTGTCTTCAGATTATAGTCTTACCAGCAGTATATGTCTGTTTTCTACATATTTCATTGAGGGATTTAGCACTTAGAATAAAAGAAGAAAATAAAATGCATTTACATTTCTCTCCGGCCAGACATGTCTTCTGTTTCACAACCGACTTTTTCTTGAAACAGTACCATATTCAGCTCACTTCCCACACATTCATCAACTATTCTGGCATCTTCCCTGCCAATCTGCTGAAACCGCGCTTAGCAAGGCCATTAACAGCCTCTTACCGGTTAAGTCCAATGGCCTTTTCTCCTTGATTGATTTTTTTTTTTCAGTCTTCCTTGACTCCCCAGCACCACTTGACTAGTTAGCTATGTCATCATTCTTAAGAGACTCTCTTCTGAAGTTTTGTGATGCTTAGCTGTCTTTTGGCCTTTTCTTACCTCTGTGACTCTTCAATCTCATTTCCCATTGTAGCTCCACTCCCTCTGCCCATTGCTTAAATGTTAAGAGTCCCCTTTATTTCTGTTCTTATCCCTCTGGCTAGTCAGTACATTCTGGTCATGTCCCCTAAAGTCATGGCTTCACCTGTAATCATCATCTAAATATTAAAGGTTCCCAACCTTTATACCCTGAGCCTAACTCATTACTAAGCTTTAGACCTGCATATACACTGATATATTGACTATTAACTGGATCTGTTCCACCCAACAGATCCCACAATTTCAATATTTTAAAAACTAAGCTTATGATGTTCTCCTGCAGCCCTGTTTCTTCTTTGTTTCTTGGTACCACTGAAGTCGGACGTGTGCGTGTGTGTGTGTTGTCTATTCATCCTTGCCTCTTCCTCCTCTTGTAGTAGCTAGACAGTTGTTAGATTCTTTCAGTTTTCTTATTCTAAACCTCTTTCTGTCTTTACTACTATCCCATTTTTTAGGCCTTAGAGATTAATCAGATTTAAAAATGAACACTTAGAATTGTTGTTTCTTAACTTCATCTGTGTAGTTCTTTTATGAATCTGTCTTTATAATTGAGTTTTGACCTGTGCTTCCTTATTAGATTGGTACCTCCTTTTTTTTTTTGAGTCAGTCTTGCTCTGTCGTCCACACTGGAGTACAGTGGCAGGATCTCGGCTCACTCCGACATCCGCTTCCCGGGTTCAAGTGATTCTCATGTCTCAGCCTTCTGAGTAGCTGGGATTATAGTCACACAACCCTCGCCTGGCTAAATTTTGTATTTTTTTGTAGAGATGGGGTTTTGCCATGTTGCCCAGGCTGGTCTCAAACTCCTAGTCTCAAGTGATTTGTCTGCCTCTGCCTCCCAAGATGTTGGGATTACAGGCATGAGCCACTGTGCCTGGCTGGTGCCTCATTGTTTAAAGATGGGTTTCTATTTTAAAAACAGAAAGTTTTTAGACATTCATGTTCTAGTAGATCATAGACTTTTGAATCTGAGTGAATAGGATTTGACTCTAACCTCAGTCACTTAATATTTACTTTAACCTTGAGTTACTTAAAGTTTCAGTTTTATAATTGGAAATATAATATATACCTTGGGGCATTGTTGAGGATTAAGTAGATAATGTAATGAAGGTATTTGGCACATCGTAGGAATTCAGTAAATTTAGAAATTATGATATAATGCTATAATATGGACTTATATACAGCAATTTTAACTTTAAATTTTTTTTTTTGCATTACAGATAGTGTGTGTACCATATCAGTGGCGTATAACTATGCTCATCATTGTTCTTGTCAATGCCTTTGTATCTATCACAGTGGAGGTAAGCCCTTCTATAGTCAAATGTCTGCCATATTGCTTTGGGATTCTTGGGTAGTTTACTGGTAAATGCGAGAAGAGGACAGGTAATGTAATGGAAAGCCCCAGAGTCTCAATTTCATCTTAGGCAAATTCATTTAGCCTTCTCTTAACTTTTCTGTGAATTGATAATGATCATATTAAGGGGTATGACTTACTTGCAGTCATACACATAGGAGAAAATAAGCAGTGTGATGATAAAAATTAATGATGAGTAGAAAGGAGAGAAGTTTGGTGCCTAAGTGGCCCATGAACAGATGAACCAGTGATTCTGAAATCAGAGTTGGCACATGCCATCTGTGTTTTGTGATGTACAGCAAAATCTCCCATTTAAGGGAGGAAGAGGTAGGGCCATTCTCCAGGAAACATAGTAAATATTCATAGCAAGATAATTTTTTAAAGTAGAAAATAATAATCCTTCTGGACTTACCTAATTTCAGCATTGATTATGAAACTTCCTCCTTCGTATTTGGTTTTGAGTGGTCTCTAGAGGTCTGGAGTACTCCTTGATTCATTGTATATTGTATAGTTACCCTCCCATTAGGATTGCCTTTAAGTTAGCATCTCTAAAAGGAGTTGGCGAGTTCTCATTGATGGCTTATTAATAAGCTTTGTCTGCTCTCAGAACTATTATCATAACTGATATAAGAAATGGAAGGGGGAGATACAGTTGTGGTTTTTTTAAGTTCAGAGTTTCATAGTACAGGCTTTTTGATTAAAATAAAGGTAATTTTTTTGAGAAATATATATCCATATATTTCAGTGATAATAGCTCTGGACTTAGAAATTATGCTTTATTTCAGTTATCACCCTAAAAGATGACTTGGTATTGAAATTTGAAATATGATGGAAGCATGGATATTATGGTACTGACCTTTTGAAGTTGCCCAGTGAAATGTGTGTGTGTTGTTTTTTTTTCTATTTTATGGGTGCTAGAAAGCACATGTAAGATATTATATTCTAAAAAGTGTTCCTTTTTCTACAGTATAAGTTCGTCTTTTCACAGAAATATTACTTGTTCTTACTATCTAAAGAATGATTTGTATTGGATGCTGATGAAATTATGTATCTATAGATATGGATATAGAATTTATATTAGATATTCAATGAAAATAACCATTGTTAAGAAAGACTTCAGATTATATAAGCATCACTTTAATATGGCAAAGACTTGAGGATTTACACAAAAGCTGTATTTCATGGAAAATTTAGAAGTCTCATTTTATCAGTAATTTTATGGTTTATATTTGTTACAAAAATCCTGTCATTCTTGATCCTTTTGCAGTATTAACTGAAATTCTATATATGAAAATGATGAAAATTATGTTTTTCATCAATTATGCAGCATTGTGATTTTTTAAAAATGTGCACATTAATTAAAAAATGAATTAGTCATTATTAATTCTTAACTCACTGGAATGTCTCAGAACTTCTTCCTTGACATGGTCCTTGGGAAAGTTGTGTTCAATCGAGACAAACAAGGAGAATATCGGTTCAGCACCACACAGCCGCCACAGGTTGGAACTCAGCGCTTGTTATCCGTTCTTCATGTCTCTCTAGGCTCTTTTGCTTCTATACTCCGCATTCTGTAGTGTGTTCTTGTTCTGTTCTATTATGTGTTACTTCAGCCTTTTTTCTTATGCATGGCATTTCATTTCTTATAAGAAGTCCTAAAAAATTCATGGCAAACATTTGTTAGAGGCTTTTCAAGATCAGAAATTTCATAAGTCTCCTTTCCATTTCCAATCCTGATCTATTCATGTAAAAGTCATGTCCTCAAAGGTGAGAGTTAATTTTTCCATTTCAATCTGCTATAAATTTTGTTTTTGTTTTTCATGAGTTCCCTTAGAAGCTAAATGAGATTTATATAAACAGAGTTTGCAATGAAAATTGTTTCTTCTTGGATCAGAGTCCAAATGCCAAAATTTTGAAGAATGATTTCTGATATCTTGTCAATTACTGTCCCTTAATTTGGGGTGGCTTTTTGGCTTTCCCCAGTGTTATATACCTTATCATTCACAAGATGGTATGCCTTTTTTCATACAAACTATGGTTTAGGACATTTGACTTTTGGGGCGTGTTAAATAGCCTATCTTTTGAAAGGTATCACATATCTTTTGAAAGGTATCGCAAGTTCTGTAGTGAAGAGAGAAGAGACATGGAAGAATAAAACCCATTTCCTAGTGTTAAGACATTAAAGTATAGCTCTTGATACAGATACAGATTGGACTTACTTTTTACACCCATGCTGTGAATCAGAGCTCTTTGGGGCATAGAGAACTGAATAAAACATCACCCCTTCATTGCCTTACCCACTGCTCTTTAGAGATGGGTGATGTGCTTTACAGATAGGCGTTCTGAGTCTTTCACTCAGCCTTGAACCACAGGAAGCTGGTGGAGATGAAGAGAACTCCCTGGCATTTTTAAGTTGGGTTACCCACGTAGTTTTAGCCAACTTTTACCTAAGTGGTCACTTCTGAGCTTTGTTTTGGTAATGCAGCAGGCCTGATGTCCTGGTGGAATGCCATAGGATTGCTTTATGAGAGGGCCTGCAGAGTACCGTTTCCATTTTCTAATGCTTTATGGTGAATAATGATGAAAGGCAGCAGCTTCTGGAATCAGCCTCGGTTTTCTTTTTTTTTTTTTTTTTTTCCTGAAAGCAGTGTAATACCAGTTGTCCCTAGTAGTGGGTATGACTAGGGTTGTACAATGGGCTCAAGTCCTTTAGCAAAATCTTGTATGTGTAAACACACACACACACACACACACACACACACACACACACCCACCCCAAACCACCCACCCCCGTACATAGAGTTACCTTACTTCTTCAAAAGGCTATCTTTGGCTTATATCATCAGTTCTCATGTGAAATGTTTACATTGTATTCCTAGGCCTAGGAAAACATTTAGATTTTTCATGTTCTCTAAAGAGATCTCTGACTATTGATCTAAATAAGAAATGCATGTTTTGACGGCGAGGAATACCCTGGTTTAGTTGAAAATATCATGAGGTCCCTTAAAAATATTTGGATTGGAAGTCTCTCCTGGCTTTTCAACCAAAATTAAGTGGCAGATAATTCTTTTATTTGTCTCTGTTTTCTGAAAAATTATTAATAAATATCTGCCCTTTTTGTGAGACTAGGGTCTCACTTGGTTACCCAGGCTGGAGTGCAGTGGCACAACTATGGCTCACTGTAGCCTTGAGCTCCCCAGGCTCAGGTGATCCTCCCACCTCAGCCTCCTGAGTAGCTAGCGTTATAGGTGCCTGCCACGATGCCCAGCAATTTTTGTTTTGTAGAGATGGGATTTCATGCTGGGTAGATAGAACTATAGGTGCATGCCATCCCAGACCCAGCATTTTTTTGGTGGCGGGGCCAAGGGTAGGTTTCTCCATGTTGCCCAGGCTGGTCTCAAGCTCTTGAGCTCAAGTGCTCTGCCTGCCTCAGCCTCCCAAAGTACTGGCATTACAGGTGTGAGTTGCCACACTCAGCCTACCCTTCTAATTTTATAAGAATTTGTGTGTCTTCCTCTGAAGTGTTCAGGGGAGAGTGAAGGTAGACTGGTCCAGAGCAGGTGGGCCCCACCCAGCACACCCTGTGTGTCACCTGATTCTGAGAATCATCAAGTAAACAAGAATTTAAGTCTTCCATTTCTGTGATTATGATTAAGGTTTTTAAAAAACTTACTGGCTTTAGGAAAGGGAGTTCTTATAACATCTCAACACAAAGTAACCTGCTTTCTTCTCCGATGCTTCCATGTGTAGTGTTGCTTCACTGTTCATGTTTGTGGCAGAGCCAGTCATCAATCATATGACCATAAGGCCGTGGTTCTCCCGTGGTTCTCAAGCAGAGGTGATTTGCCCCAAGGGACATTTGGCAGTGTCTGGAGACATTTTTGGTTGTCACAATTGGCAGCCCCAGTTGTTAATACTTATTCTCTGACTGCCCCTCCCCCCGCCCCCAAAATCCTTTGTATCAGTGATTTTCAAGCAAGATTATTCATCAGAAATGCTTTTTTCCACCCTTGACCTACTGAATGGAAATCTTCAGTGGAGGCCCCCAGCATCTGTGGTTTTCCGTAAAGCTTTAGCCCGTTTGAGGAGATCTGTCGTATCTTCTCTTTAGCAGCATTTGTGCCTACCTTGTGTCTGGTAAACTGAGGTCACTTAGTAGTGGAACTAGAATCATACTAGCCTGTAATTTGATCCTGCCTGAAGATTTATGCCCAATTTATGTTTTCTTTTTTGGTGAAAAATCCAAAAAAAGTAGTCTTTATGGGATAGTGAGTGTTTATGCCACTTAGAATATTATTTAAGCTTATATAGACAGAATGTTAATGCTAAGTTTCTGTATTGGTTTTATATTCAGGATTGGTATGGAAGAAGACTTATGAAAACCACAGCGCCATTATAACATTTTTTTCCTTCAAGCATGGCATCATATTTTATATACTGCCCATGAAAACATTTTCTAAAAGACATTCTAAGTGTAAACTTGACATTTTTGAAAGTTCTTTTTAGTTTCTCTGCTGAACTAAGCATGGTAGCCTCTTTACTTCTCTGAGGGGATACATTTGGTCACTTAAGCATTCCTTTCGGGAAGAAACGGAAAGATACAGTTGCTACAGCTGCTGTGCTCCCCTGCTTGAAGGACTTGGCTGTGGATGTCTTGGAGAGGCACGTGTGCTCATTCTAGGCCCCTGCTGTCCTGCATCATGGTCTTTGTGTTACACAACACTTGCCTTTCCCTTCACCATCGTCATCTTTCCCCTGGCTGATCTCTCACTCCAGCATGCCTGTAGCACCTTTTATTTTCTCTTCCAGTGAATTAGATTGTGTTTGAGAATGTGTTTGGTATGTTTGTGTTTATGAACTAACAAACCTATGCTTGCACATGGTGTATTTTTTGTGTATGATACTTGGGGGAGGTAAGGGTACAGGAACAAAACTTTTTCAACTAGAGTAGAGCAGGGGGATCCTTAGTGTTCCTCACTTTTTAAAAATTGTGGCAAGTGTACATTGTTTTTAATAGGGTTGTGAGGATTTTTTTTCAATGTGTAAAAAGAATCCTATTCAGTTGTAGTTCTATTTGCAGTTAAGTTTAGTTGTATTGGTTGACTTACTTTCTACAAGTAGAGAACAGTGAATTGAGGTATGTGTGTATGTGGCTTTCCTTAACTCAGCTTGCTACGCATTGCCCTTCACACTGGCAGACTCTTCGGACAGACAAGGCGTATTATGTTCCTGCCTTTTAAAAAAAGTCGACAGTCAACATTAGCTTATTTTTTGTGATTGTATAACAGTGCTACTTAAAAGTGACAGCTTTCCAATTGATTTAGGAACAATGATTTTTTTCCACAATTAGTTTGGCAAATGTCAACACCTTGGAAAAAAGTAAGATCCAAGTCGTAAACTGTCATCCTGGATTAAATAGTACGTTTGTTGTGAGCCTTTACTGGAAAGGCTTTATCTGTTATTTTGGATCACCTGAAGAATCCTATACATAGTGACTTCTGTACCTTAATGCTCTTTTCTGGTTGACTTTTTTAAAGGTAATACTAATATAACTCTCTTTCACTGTGACAGTAAAGAGGCTACTAGATGAGTAATGTTAAACCTCCCTGCCCCCACCCCAGAATGTCACGTAGCTTATTTTGTTCACAGTCTTTGCCTTTAAATTCTTGGTAGCAGTGCAGCTTATTGTGTTTTGTTGACAAACTTAAACTTGCAGACCTTTAACATTGATGAGAGCAGTGAGTTACCTCATGCCCTCAGCAGGGCCGGGGAGAAGAGGGAAAGGGTAGTAGTAGGTTTCTGATGGTTGTTTCACTAGATGAGCAAGAGCTGTCAAGTGAACCATGAAAAAGTTTTAAGAGCTTTAATTTTAAAGTATTTTTTCTGTTCTCCATTGGCCAATTTAGAGACATGTTTCCAAATACATCTGTAGCAAATGCCTTTTTAATCATGAGGCATTTTGGATAACATAAGAATGTGTATCTCAGTTATGTAATACTTCTGTTTTGTGAGATTACTTATATGTTGATTGACCAAACACAATGGCCTGGGATTTAAATTTCATTTTGGAGAAGCATCAGCCAAAATAAGACATGGCTGTTCTTTAGAGGTAAATATAACTACTATAGGTCCCGGTGTAGTAATTTATATTTATTTCAAATTTCAATTGAGACAAATTCTGAGAGCCCTTTTCGGCCCTCTCTTGAGTTTACATTTCTTTTTTCTTTTTCTCCTTTCAGTGTTATCCAAGCGTTTACATTTCTATGCATTAACCAGTGATTCTGCTTTCTTATTCTCCAAGGATTATTTCTCTAAGGTCACATTTACTACAAACATCAGGATTGATCAGAAGGATTTCGGTAACAGCAGAGCTTTTTGCAGTGAAATAATACGAAATAATAGGACTTGCTTAATACCTTTTATACCCCTTTCAGTCGTGGAGCACCAACGGGCCATCATTATAAAACAGTATTGCTTTTTACATTAATAAGGATGTGGTTTTAAAAGACATATTTGACATTAAACATGATTAAAGCCCTAAATTTGATCAAACAATATTTACCTTGTTTTGAGAGATGATATTAAAAGTAACGAGGATTTATACCTGACTTTCTTCCAAAAATGGTTATGTGGCTAAGTTGCCAGGAGCAATCGTACTGAAAGACAGTTTGGGACAGAATGTGAAGATTTTCAAATTAAATACTAAAAATGTTTTCTCTTTCTGAATGGCTTAAAGTTCTTAATACATTGGATATTTTGTGTTAAAGAATTCATATCTGCAAGTTATTTAAAATGTATTAGTATACTAGAGTGTAGGTACATAAAACTAAATAAAATGAAGTAAATCACATTGATACAAAAAAAAAAAAATCTAAAGATAATCAGTTCCTAAATAATCGAAAGCTGCCTTTAAAAAATAAAACAAAAGAACACAGGGTTTCACTACGTCACCCAGCCTGGTCTCAAACTCCTGGGCTCAAGCCTTCCTCCCACTTCAGTCTCCCAAAGTGCTGGGATTTCAGGCATGAGCTGCCACACCTGGCCAAAGCTGCCTTTTTTTCTTTTTTTAAACATGGGTTTCCCCCCCTACCACCATTTGATGTGCTCAGGAGTCATTTTCTCTTATTTTTCTCTAATGTGTGCTTTAACCTGTTAAAAACAACAAGGCTTTAATCAACTGGGGTGTTTTTTTGCTTTTTTTCCCCCCTTATTTTCTTAGGAGTCAGTGGATCGGTGGGGAAAATGCTGCTTATCCTGGGCCCTGGGCTGTAGAAAGAAGACACCAAAGGCCAAGTACATGTATCTGGCGCAGGAGCTCTTGGTTGATCCAGAATGGCCACCAAAACCTCAGACAACCACAGAAGCTAAAGCTTTAGTTAGGGAGAATGGATCATGTCAGATCATCACCATAACATAGCAGTCAGTCAGTCTCAGTGGTAATCATCACCATAACATAGCAGTCAGAATATTCAGGAATACGTGTTTTTAGGAGTTTCTGATCCTGTGTGTCAGAATGGCACTATTTCAGTTTAAGTCCCTTCTGATATAGTAGTTGAGAGCTTTGCTCTTCCTTAAAAACAAAAACAGAAAAAGGTATTGTCCTAACAAATTAACAATCTGTAAAGTCCTGTATCTTCATTTCAGTCATGGAAATATTGTATACATTTCCAGAATTTTCTTGATTGTTACTCTCAGTGATATTCTCTATATTGGGTCCAGGAGAAGTTTGGTGTTTGGTAGTTTTTCAGCATTAGTTTTTGAGGTTAGTTTACCTCTTTACATTTATGTTCACAACCCTCTTATTAGAAAAAGTCTGTATTTCTGTGGACTCTAAATTTATGATTGATAAAAAGAAAATGAGTGTTAATTAGCCTCTAGTGAAAATATATTGAAAGCCTGTTTTCATTTGATTCCAATATTTCTTCCAAAGAATTGTGTATAAATATACACCAATTCCCTAAGATGGTCTAGAGTTAGGAATGAGTTTATGGTGTTGCTTATAGAACAACTCAGGTAATTTCCATTTATGGTTTTATATTTTCTGTACAAACTGCCTGGGTTTTATTTTTCTAATCAGCAAGGTGCTTCACTGCCTTCTTGAGATGCCTCTCAAAGCTATTAAATGGCTCTTGTCCTATGTGAGGTGTCAGTAGTCTAATTTGCTTCTGTTAAATGTTGTAGAACCTTTTTCACTAGGAAATAGGATTCATTTCTTTTGGCAGTAGATGTAGATTCATCTTTCTAATGTTTCTTCAGATTTGTTCCTGTCCGGCTTTGTGTTATTTTAAATGGTTTTTTAAAATTTTCTTGTTTTCAATTACCTAAAGACATAAAATAATAGTTTTTTCAAGTTAGAATTTTACCTCATAAGATTTTTTGAGATTTGACATATGTCTCTGTCTTATCAATAATGAGGCCTAAAGAATATTGGGTTTGAATGGCTGCATTTTTTAAAAGCAATATGAACTTGGTGAGAGTTTGTTTTATGCCATTAGGTGGCGCCAGAGGTCAGAGCATGTCTACTTTGAATTGGACTATTAAAAATGAACGTATTTGGTGTGGAAATTTCTGAGAGGAAAAAAAAAAATGAGGAAATAAAGTTTTAAAAATTGACATTCATTGAGCCAAAAGAAATGTGGAGAAACATGTTTAACCTTTCCATTTTGCCTGATTAACATTTAAATTCTTGCCAAAATTAAGGTAACTTTAAAAATGCCTTTTACATGTAGGATCCAGCAGTTTGGCAAAACTTAGAAAACTGATAGTGCTATAAAATGGATACTAAACTATTAAAACGTATGACATTGTTCTGTGTTCTTCCGTAACCAGTAACATGCTTGCTGTGCTTTCTACTTCTAGCTGATCATTATTTCCCAGCATATATTTACCAATTTACCACATTTTACCTAGAATTGTAGGACCAAATGGTTCTCACTCTTTATGCTGCAAAGAATGATGTTTGGTAACTGTAGAAAAATAGAAGTTACACTCAGGATCACTGTTAACTGCTATTGCCACTGATGATTCTTCCAAAAATATAATCGAAGTTCTCCATCAAAATGTATGATATGCTATTAATACACATTAGATGATAATAACAGTTGTTCCATGAATAATCCTATGAAGCTATGCATCTTAGACCTCTTGAGCTGTGAATTAGCACTATTTTCTGTAGTTACTTATTCGATCATTTTATAATTTCCATATTAATTTCAGATATGCTTGTGTTACTCTTCAGTGCTCTCCAGAATTGTGCATTTTATTCTTTGGTTTAAGCACTCAAGTATATAATTAAAGGAATTGCTAAGTAGCAGCTTAAAATTCAGTTATCAAATTGTATTTAACAATCTTTAAGAGCATGATCATAAAGAGCTATTTTTGACACCCCCCCTTTTTTTTTAACATTTAGAGTTAAAAGGGTTTTATATCTCATCTGTCCATATTTTTTTCCAAGGAATGAGGTGTTGAGGTAGGTGGAAAAGCATTTGTAGGAAGTTAGTTTGAATATTGACACGGTGGGTTATTCACATTGAGGGTGTTATTTGAAGAATGACTCTGAAGCCAGGTGTGGTTCTACTCAGTGCCATAGATAGACCGAGTCTTCTCTCTGTAGGTCACCGTTACAGAATTTTCATTCTGAATTTCACATTGAATTATTTGAGTTCATGTAGACCTAAATTTTAAAAACTGTACATATATTATTTTGATGTATTAAGATGAATAAATATTGCTGATTTAGATTTTATTTATACACATACGTAAAGGACAAAAATGTCTGGGAAAGTAATTGTTAAATAATGATATGTAACTTTTTAACTTTTTAAATAAACAACGAGATTTTTCATGTGTGTCTCCCTCAGGGTTGTTTAAACCTTTTTTTCTCCCTCAAGTATAAATAGTGGTAACTATATGTTTTGTATCTTCTAGCACCAACTGCTGTAAAGCAGTGCTGCGAATAATGCTTGAATAAAAATGGCTAAGCCCACAACAAAATACATACTTTTTACAGTAGTTTTATAATCCTTCAGTTCGAAAGCTTTCCAAATGGCACTTGCATCTAAACAAAACTGTTGCAGTTTTCACTCTATTTACTTTGTTCCCCATGTTTATGAAAGTGCTGCGCAGTTTCAAGGGCATGGTAACCAATATATCAGTGTTGATGTAGTCCGTTCCAAAAACAGCTATCGATAACATTACTCAGTGAAAAGCAAAATTCAAGCTTTAGAAAACATGCATGCATGCAGTTTTGACGTATCTAAAAGTAGGTTTTTGTATATTTATGGTGGGAGGTGGTTGGGAGCTTTTAACAAAATGGGGTGTTAATTTTTGTATAGTCTGTGGGCATTTACACATTTTTAATGTATTAAAATTTGGTAATTATGTGTACATTAAATTAATTACTTCTGGTTATGATTTGTGAATTCCCTACAACCTTGGATTTTTTTAAGTAACTTTATATCAGAAATGATACTGCATCTTTATATTTTTAAAATTGTATTGCTCAAGAATGGTACCCTCTTGTCAAAAAGGCATACATTCATAATTGTACATTCAACATTGTAAATAATCTTATGAAACCTTTTTTGATTGAAGCATTCAAAATAAAAATTTTAATGAATGAAATAACACTTCATTTTTTCTGGGTTTTTATAAATTTGTTTGCTCTTTAGTCACATGAATACTTCCCTTTGTGGATTTACTTTTCTGCCTAATACTTCGCATTTACTTTTTTTTTTTTAAAAAAAGCTGGATTTTTGAAGGAAATAACATCCCGCATATCACACCATGTCTGTGACCTTCCTGGGGAAACCCCTGAGTCAGATGCAGTGCAGAGCCAAATGTTAAATGCCAGGAAGTCTGAGGGAAATGGTGAAATGTAAGAGGAGGAACTTGTAATCTATTAATAGTTGGGAGAATCAAACCAAAAGCTAATACCATGGAGAGAGAAGATGGTTGTGGAAATCCCAGAGAAGACAGGACTTTTGTCTGTGGGTAGGAGTTGTTTTCCGGCAGCTCAGCTTCCAGAGACGTGCGGCCTCTGCTAGGGCACACGTGGCTGGCTGTGGTGTGATGAATTCGGTGGGCAAGGGTCTGCCTGCTTTTAGCTCCAGTTCTTATCAGTTGCTATGGTTTGTGTGGCATGTGTGACCCTTTCCACACAGCCTGCTGGTGTGGGCACAGTTCTGCATGTCTCTCCTTCCCCTCTATCACTGCCAAGTGCTTTATTCTGAGTGCATATTGCAGGAAGGGACATTGAGTCCTAGGGGCTTGAGTGAGACTGTCCGTAGTCCAAGTTGGGGTGTGGTTACTCCCCACTGTGCCCTGCCCACTGAGTCTTTCTCAAAGAGGAAAAACACTATCTCACCCAGGCAGACCTGCTTTTGAATGGTTAAACCCCTTAAGCCAGGGATCTGTGACTTCTGACCTGGTGATGGATCCAGAATCTTGAGCACTGGAGCTGTCAATTTCATTGCTCCAAATACTTCTCATTACCTCATCCACTTGCTAAGTGGATGGACTAAGAGTGTTTTCCACTCTCTGCAACTTCCTTCTCTACTTCTCCCTGGATAATCAGAATGTCTTCCTAAAGAACAAAACGTAGAGGCCATTCTGGGGAAATAGGCTAAAGAAGTGTCACAAGCATTTGAGTCGGCATCTTACACTGTTTCACAGCGCACCTTCCCTGTCTGTCATGTTGGCTCCCTGGCATTTTCATGGGCAAGGCGGGGGGGCTTTTACTTGATTTGCCTTTGCCTGACGGACTTACCAACTCACCAATGCAGCAGTTCTGGGCTCTGGAGTTGCATTTTTTGATCAGAACTGAAAGACCTCATGTGATACCTGGCAGAGGCTCTGACTCTTCCCTGTGGTCCAGGACTACATGACTTAGAAGGTAATTTCAGTCAACTCAGCATTTACTAGGCCCTGACTGCATTTGGCTACATCAAAGGGTGATTAGATCCCATGAGGTAGACATTCCTGATATTAAGCCTTTGTCAGTTATAAGTGTCACAAATATCTCTAGTTTGTGGTTTGTCTTTTCACCTTTTTTTATGGTGTCTTCATAGATAGAAGTCTTAATGCAGACAACATTAGGGTGCTTACAAAAGACACATAGACATACGTGTTTTGCCTATAGAAAAATGGGCAAAAGGAAACCCAGCATTCTCAAATGAAGCACAAATGGGCCTTAATTATGTGAAAAGGTGCTCAAGTTCATCATTAAACAGGGAAACGAAAAGTGAAAACCATGCTTTTTTGGCGGAGGGGTACCAAATTTCTTTATTTGAAGGAATGGTACAAAGAACTGAAGTGGATGTTTTGGTCCAACTTACAGAAAAGGTAAAGGAAACCCCAATATGCGTGCACTGCCTTGGTGACCAGGGAAGTCACCCCGTGGCTATGGGGAAATTGGCCTAAGGCTTAGCTTTCGTTAATCACTGTCTCCCAGGGTGTGCTTGTCAAAGAGATATTCTGCCAAGTCAGATTGGGGTGCTCCCATCTTGTGCAAGTTGGTCACGTGGTCACCCAATTCTTTGATGGATTTCACCTGCTCATTCAGGTAATGTGTCTCAATGAAGTCACACAAATTGGGGTCATTTTTGTCAGTGGCCAGTTTGTGCAGTTCCGGTAGTGACTGATTCACACTTTCATAGAAATGGCAAAAATTAGGAAGTAGCAATCGTGGACAGAGATGGAGCGCAGGAACTCTCATCAATGGTAGGTGGCGTTGTAGACCAGTACATCCACTTTGGAGAGCAGTTTGATGTCCCCAAGTTAAATTGAACATGTCAACAGCCTGCAACACAGCAATGCCATTATAGAACATTTTCAAGGACTTTCTTGGCCTTGTTATTTCCAAAAGGAAAAAAAAAAAATGAGTGGAGCATTTGAGAATGTTCTTAGCTTTATTGCTAAATGGAGAAAGATAAACAACACACACATACACAACTGGGCAGAAAATTAGGGCCATGTGGCGTGAAAAGGAAGACCCAAAAGGAGGTGTGGCCCATCTAGGGGTGTGGCCACTGCAGCGATCCAACTATTATTAAATGTTCTTAGCATCGCAGAGTTATGTTGTGCCATTTATGGAAAAACTCTTCCCACTGCTCTTGGCTTTGACACTAGAATCAGGTTATATATGGTCTCTCAGTTTGAAGATATCTGTCTTGGGAAAACCAGAACATGGCCTCTGAGATAGGGTCCTTTCCCTGACCTATTCTGGTAAAGTCTGTATCCTCAGGATGCAAGGATCCTACCCTCTTCCTTTGGAAAGTGTCGAATCACATGCAAAGCTCTAAGTCTTTCAGTTACTTTGGCGTGCAGAACCATTTCAGGTAAGGCCAAATATTTTAAAAATTAGTATAGGAAATTAGAGGGCTTCATTCATCTGTGTGTGCATGAGAAATAAAATTTCACCAGAAGCAATTTATGTAAAATTTCACTTGGGAAACGTTGTTTTGGCAGATAAATAGTATTGTGTGCATTTCACAGAAAATTCAGTGCCATGAGTATTACCTTTTATTAAGCATCTTAGAAATGGTAGCTCTTTATGGCTAAGTAAAAAATACTTCCCTCAAATTCTGTGTGATCCTAGTTATGCTATTGAACCTTTCTGTGCCTTTGTGTCTTTCTCCTTGATCCGGGATAATATACTTACCTCCTAAGGTTATCATAAGAATTAAATGCATACAGTATAAATAAAGCACTGAGAACAATGCTTGGCATAAAGTGATAGGCATTATTTTATGCTTTTATTGGCTGTTGATTGTAAAATGATAGGTGTTATTATTATATGCTTTTGTTGGCTGTTGATTGAAGGTGTTCAATGTTTTGGGGTGTCCATCGTTGAGAGTAACTTGGTACTGCAGAAATAGCATGATTGTGAGCAAAAGAATCAGATGCTGGTGGCTGCAGACTTTGCTGTTCTCTTCTTGACTGTTGGTTAGAGCCAAGGCAGGTACATTAGAAAGTCAAGAGCAGAACTGCTTTCACAATGGACGCTGCTTTGTAATGTCTGTGAGCTTGAATGTGAGAATGATTATTTTAATTAATTCTCTATGTAAGGATTTTTAAGTATTGGCTATTCGGTAGCTTGATTTTTTTTTTTTTTTTTTTTTTTTTTTTTTTTTAAGATGGAGTCTCACTGTGTCCCCCAGGCTGGAATGCAGTGGCATGATTTCAGCTCACTGCAACCTCTTCCTCCCAGGTTCAAGTGACTCTTTTGCCTCGGCCTCCCGAGTAGCTGGGACTACAGGCGAGTGCCACCATACCGGCTTATTTTTGTACTTTTAGTAGAGACGAGGTTTCACCATATTGGCCAGGCTGGTCTGGAACTCCTGACCTGGTGATCCACCAGCTCAGCCTCCCAAAGTGCTGGGATTACAGGCGTGAGCCACCGCACCCGGCCTGGGTGGCTTGAAAACACTTTAATATCAATGCTTTAAACTCAGAGTAGAAAAATCAGTAAAGCAAAAGAACGAGACCACACAGTGTAGATAGAATGAATGTCTTTTCACCACCTAGGGAAATCTGCAGTCGTAAGAAAAGAGGGAGTAAGAATTCTGGCCAAAGGACTTGTGCCTCTCCAAAAAGTGCAGGATCCCGGGATTCAGTATGGGCGCGAACGCTCCTGTACGTTGACCGCACTCCCACGGTTGCTTTTTCAGACATGCTGAGAAGGACCCTGCTGTGCGCAGTGCTCGGGCTTCTGCGAGCCCAGCCCTTTCCCTGTCCGCCAGCCTGCAAGTGTGTCTTCCGGGACGCCGCGCAGTGCTCAGGGGGCGACGTGGCGCGCATCTCTGCGCTGGGCCTGCCCACCAACCTCACCCACATCCTGCTCTTCCGAATGAGCCGCGGCGTCTTGCAGAACCACAGCTTCAGTGGCATGACGGTACTGCAGCGCCTCATGCTCTCCGACAGCCACATTTCCGCCATTGCCCCCGGCACCTTCAATGACCTGAGAAACCTGAAAACCCTCAGGCTGTCGCGCAACCAAATCACTCATCTTCCAGGTGCGCTGCTGGATAACATGGTGCTCCTGGAGCAGTTGCTTTTGGACCACAATGCGCTAAGGGACCTTGACCAAAACCTGTTTCAGAAACTGGCTAACCTGCAGGAGCTCGTTCTGAACCAGAATCAGCTCGATTTCCTTCCTCCCAGTCTTTTCACGAATCTGGGGAACCTGAAGTTGTTGGATTTATCGGGAAACAACTTGACCCACCTGCCCGAGGGATTGCTTGGCGCACAGGCTAAGCTTGAGAGACTTTTGCTCCATTCGAACCGGCTTGTGTCTCTGGATTCGGGGCTGTTGAACAGCCTGGGCGCCCTGATGGATCTGCACCTCCACCGAAATCACATCGTTTCCATCGCATCCGGGACCTTCGACCGCCTCCCAAACCTGAATTCTTTGACTCTTGCGAAAAACCATCTTGCGTTTCTCCCCTCAGCACTCTTTCTTCATTCGCACAATTTGACTCTGTTGACTCTATTTGAGAACCCTCTGGCAGAGCTCCCGGGGGTGCTCTTCGGGGAGATGGCGGGCCTGCGGGAGCTGTGGCTGAACGGCACCCAGCTGCGCACCCTGCCCGCCGCCACCTTCCGCAACCTGAGCCGCCTGCGGGTCC